CATGAAGCTAAGTGCTTAAGTGCTATAACTCTTGAATGCCTGTAGATGAAGGCTCAATTGCTTGAATTGGGATAATTTGAGTAACGTACATATGAGATCACTTTTTCGAGTGGTAAATATTCGAAACAATTTTCAAACAAATATGAGATCAAAGTGTTCCAATTTTTGTAAATTAGTCTATATTTGTGTACAACACATGGTAAGTTAGACTAATAAATCGGAACAAGAGCATATAATGTAAATAAAATTCGCATCATGATTAGTAGAGGTTGATCTTTGATCAGGCGAGTGGGGTACTCAATTCATGACCTTTCCCTCCCATACCTAAGTTCCCGAGCCGAGACAATCTTGGTGATGACGGATATGTGGCTTCTGGTACGAGTCATGGGTTTCCTAAATTTCTAAAAAATATTTAGGTGGCGACTTTGTATCTGAAAAAGCAGTTCATTTTTGACATTTTGATTCAAAATCGATTTTTTAAAAGATTTGCCGGATTTAGACTCTTTTGTGTTTATCTATTTCACATTGCACTTGTGAGATTAGATTCAGAACCACGGGAGTCCGAACTATAGGGCTATCGTATCTGAAAGGAGCACGAAAAGTCAAGCTACACTTACGAACACTAGCATCACGGCCCTCCTCGATGATAGGATGCGTAATCCGTAATGCGTGATCAATATGCTGCATTAAGAACAAATACAATTGTAATTAGCTAAGCGTCTTCAAAAAAATGTAAACAATGTGTGCCCAATATTGTCATACCTCAGCATCCTGCACATTAGATCAATTATCCTGTACATGTGGGTCAAAACTAGACCAATGTGCAGGGTTCTGGATATATAAATGTGTAATACTTGTATACCACTGCATGTAACCATCAACACAATCAGTTGGACGTTTGATTGGGGTACTCTTCTTCTGAGCAAATAAAACATGATTATCCCAACTCTCCCATATCTGATCAAGATAATGATACATCACTCTATATCGACCTGCTGTAACACCTCTAACAGCACGAACAGGGTCGAGTGGCGCAAGTGGGACGGTCTGAACCCTACCAAACTGTCTAAGAACCCTTTCAGGATTATAGGGTTCAACTACATCCAAACACTTCAAACAACCGGTATAGAATGTGATCTCATGACATAGGTGATGTTGACGGCAATCTCGATATGAATCCCAAGTAACCTAAGAGAGAAACACAAATGAAATCTTGATAAGTGATATGTAATGAGAACACTTAATTGAACTAATATTAATTGGTATACCTCATCAAATGCCAATCTATCAAGCTCATCCCATAACGCCTGTAGGTGTGATATTGTTTAACCATCTTCCAGATGAGGAGTCCATCGATGCACGTGAGACAATTGTACAGCATATTCCATGTTTTGGTGAGGTTTAAATGGCCGGAAATGCTCATAAATCCATGCCCCCAACAATGTCATGTAACTAACCATCTGTCGAATAGCTAATCTCGTGGCAAATCCCAATTGTCGGTATAAATATGTCAATGCAGCTGCACCCCAAGCATATGTATGAATATCAGTCAAATCCATCAACAACTGCAAGTACACAATAGGAACTCTCGTCCCACTCTTGTCACTAAACAGTGTACATCCCAATAGAAATAACAAATACGCTTTGGCGGCACAAGCTATGGATTCCTCGGTGTCTGAATCTTTGCAACCATTGAATTTGCTCCGTAACCACTCCAACTTTACTGATTGTCCTCTAGCAGATGATAGCTCCTCAGTTGCTTCAGCATCATCAACTCCCAAGGCAACTACCACAAGTGCATGTGCCAGTTGATCTATCAAAGTTACAGCACTAACTGATCTACCTGTGATAGGGATCCCCAAGATGGTACCCACATCATCTAATATCATTGTCATCTCACCAACTGTCAAATGGAAAGTATTTTTCTGGTTTCCATTGCTCAACAAATGCAGATATGACAATCTTATTGACGAACCGATATGTGCAATGGACCAAAGAATATAGGCCTGACTGCTGCACAATGTCTCTAAACCTTCTATTGTCGGTTCTTGACCTCCACTACCACTCAAGAATCTTGGACGCATGATTATTACACCTTAAGGGATTCCTTTTCTGCAAGGTAAGTAAGTAACAATTAACATAAATAATTTGGTTCAATAAATAATTAAATGAATGAAACATGGAAAAAATTATATACTACCTTTTGCTCCCATATAGCTGCTGCAATATGTGCTTTGAAGCTCTTTAGTATTGATGGATCTGATGGCCCCTCAGGAAACGGACCAGTGAGTACCTTCTCAGTTTGATCAACATCAGCAGCATCATTATCATCCCCTGAACCATTATCAATCACATCCTCTTCCAAGATTTGAGGTGCTTCCTCTAACACAATATCATCACCCGACCTCTACCCCGACCCCGACCCCAAACCCAACCTTGACCCCGACCTCGGCCACAAGCAAGATTTGTTAATGCACGATGTCGTCTCTTTGAGGCAGTGGGTGGAATATGCGAAAAGTCATCCATTTTTTAAAATGAAACAGAAAACAATAAAGTTAACAAAAATAACACAAATCATTTATGTTAAAATACTCACAATCATTCAAATTCTTGTTTCTTTAAGTTTGAAAAAATCCATCATTTTTACTTGTGTAGAAACAATTTTTGAAACTGTAAAACACAGCAAACTTTTTAGTCTTTTAAAAAAATGTGAGTTGCGTTAAGAAAATATTCCTAAAACAGTTTAAAAACAAATTTTCTGCATTTTTTTTTGGAAAAATAAAAACTGAGAATTAGAAGTTGTAATTTCTTCACAGTGACTCGTTTTGTAAAATTGATTGGGACTGCATACAAACATTGGGTAACATCCTTGCTTCAAAAAAATAATTACAAAAAAAAAAAGGGCAGAAATTAAGCAAATCCTGGTATGGCAAACATAGCACAGAAGTAACACTCTTTTTGATTATGTGAAAGCATAATAAATTACTTTTATGAAAGCATAGTGGCTATACAATCTATTTGAGTTAGAGGATTATAGAGCTAACACTCTATTTGATTATGTGAGAAATGGTGAGAAAGATAACAATCTTATTTTGCTTATTTTGTTTTCTCACAAAAAGTGGCGAGTTTTGGTGGGAAACATGATGATTGGTTATGAAGATCAGCTTATAGAAAAAAATGCTCTTTCTCATATAATTTATTTTATGAATATGAATGGGTTATTTGTTATTGAAACCATTCTAGCCTTGCTCAAACTGTTAAGTCAAGATTCTGTTGATTTTCAGTAAATGACTTATAGGAACTGATTTTTTTTTTTTAATTTTTTTTTATGTAATGTATTCTTCCAAATTCAGTTGGTTACTTTGATTCCCATAGTATTCCATTTCATTAGAGCAATAGGTCTGGCCCTCTAGCTAATGTTCACAACAAAGAAATCAATAAGACACACACAAAAAAACCATAGATACTGTTCAACAGTACAACATTGAACATGTTGTTAGTGTTTGACATTCTAGATCCGAATTACGTATTAGGTTCGACACTAAGATGTCGAACATGTTCGACAATAATAGACCAGACAAACTGCTACTATTCGAAAGTCAAGTGTCAAATGACATGTTGTTCGACAGAAATCGACCATACAGATGTTTGGGGTTCGAAATTTTAGTGTCGAACGGTTTGGAAACTGAATCATTCAAATACAAATTTCATGGCAATGGAAAAAAGTACATAAAACCCTAAAATCTAAGCCAAATGAGAACTCACCAACTATATCTCTAATGTGGAGTTGTTTCCAACTATGTTAAGCACCACTAACGACATCTTTGATGAGAAAAAAAGTGTATTGAGCAATGGGTCTTCACCACTGCTTTAACCTGGTTGAGAATGGGTCTTCACCGGTTTAAACAAAGAATTGAGGGGGAGATGGAAGATCGTGGGTGGGTGGGTGCGTGGGTGGGGTGTGTAAGTGAGTGAGAGTAAAGATGGAAGAATGTGAATAGATTGTGGGTGGGGTGTATGAGTAAGGGTAAAGATGAAAGATTATAGTGTGTATTGAGCAAAACATTTATTTATCAAATTACTAAAGGTGTGCCTTGAAATAAAATGTGATGTATAAATAGAAACACCCTATTTTCTCTTCAAATCTCATTAAGTGTCTCTAATTTTTATTTTTTATTTTTCCTTTCAATTTCTGTTTACACTTTCTCACCAACTCCATACTCAGCCCCATTTTTTGTACTCTCTTATCCCTCTACAACTCGCACAATATCTACTACTCCCTCTGTTCCAAAATAATTGTCCCTTTTTAAAAATCTAACTTTTTTTGATAGTACAATTATTACATTTGAAAAAAAATTAATTTTTCATAATTACTCTTTTGATAGTATATTTTTTTGAAATATCAATGTCTTAATTGTACTTTTTATATTATTTATTAATTTAAAAGAAGGGCAACATAGAAAATTTATATTATTTTTGTACTTGATTTTTGAAGGACTAATATTTTGAGACAATAAAAAATGAAATAAGAGACTGATATTTTGGGACGGAGGAAGTATGAAGAAGATTAAAAAATAAAAATAAAAACAAAATAAAATAAAATACTCATAATTAATATACATATATATGAGATAATTGTAAATAAATAATATACAAATTTGGAGTGTTCAAAATAAGGCCTTGTTTGGTATAATCTAAAAAAGTCAAAAAATTAAAAAATCACTATCCTATTTAAGTCACATCATCTTATTTAAGTCACATCACCTCTCTAATACATCACTTCAAACCCAACTCATATTTTATAAAAAATAAAAAAATACACTTATTTAGATCACCCCAAACTAACCCTAAATCTAGAACACCACGCAACTGTACGAATATCCAATGATATTTTGTGATTTATCCATGGTGTTTCTTGTTTTTCAAATCATGTAAGCATTGGCTCCCTCCAATTAGGCGGGCACCCAACACAACCAATATGATATTCTTGGCAAACAGGATAATTAACAACCACGCAAGCGCCTCATTGCAACCATTTTAAAATACAAGCCTGCTCGATCCATTAAAGTTGTTCAATTTGTGTACAAAAAGCTTCGTAAAATTATTCAAGAACAAAGAATAAAGCATTATTAGCTAGAATACAAATATAATACAGATTGTGAACTGCCTTATCCACCACTTTCAAATGCACTGAAAGGAGACCCTCAATACCAAGCCAAACATTTTTTTCCCCCCTTACCGATGGCATTTCCAAAACAGCGTCGGTTCGCTTCTACACTTGACAGATGCAACAATCTGATTTGTCAAGCTTCCACAAAAGATTCCCTAGATTGTGATGGTGATTCTGTGCCATAGTTCCAGAGGTCTTTCAGCTCACCTCTAACGAGACCCAAGATAACAACCAATCCTGAGATACAAAAAATCCACAAGCAAGATTTGTTAATGCACGATGTCGTCTCTTTGAGGCAGTGGGTGGAATATGCGAAAAGTCATCCATTTTTTAAAATGAAACAAAAAACAATAAAGTTAACAAAAATAACACAAATCATTTATGTTAAAATACTCACAATCATTCAAATTCTTGTTTCTTTAAGTTTGAAAAAACCCATCATTTTTACATGTGTAGAAACAATTTTTGAAACTGTAAAACACAGTAAACTTTTTAGTCTTTTAAAAAAATGTGAGTTGCGTTAAGAAAATATTCCTAAAACAGTTTAAAAACAAATTTTCTGCATTTTTTTTTTGGAAAAATAAAAACTAAGAATTAGAAGTTGTAATTTCTTCACAGTGACCCGTTTTGTAAAATTGATTGGGACTGCATACCAACATTGGGTAACATCCTTGCTTCAAAAAAATAATTACAAAAAAAAAAAAGGGCAGAAATTAAGCAGATCTTGGTATGGCAAACATAGCACAGAAGTAACACTCTTTTTGATTATATGAAAGCATAATAAATTACTTTTATGAAAGCATATTGGCTATACAATCTATTTGAGTTAGAGGATTATAGAGCTAACACTCTATTTGATTATGTGAGAAATGGTGAGAAAGATAACAATCTTATTTTGCTTATTTTGTTTTCTTACAAAAAGTGGTGAGTTTTGATAAGAAACATGATGATTGGTTATAAAGATCAACTTATAGAAATAGATGCTCTTTCTCATGTAATTTAATTTATGAATATGAATTGGTTATTTGTTATTGAAACCATTCTAGCCTTACTCAAACTGTTGAGTCAAGAGTCTGCTGATTTTCAGTAAATGATTTATAGGAACTGAAATGTTATTTTATTTTATTTTATTTTATGTAATGTATTCTTCCAAATTCAATTGGTTACTTTCGTTCCTACAATATTCCATTTCATCAGAGGAATTGGTCTAGCCCTCTAGCTAATGTTCACAAAAAAAAAAAAAAAAACTCAAATACTGTTCGATAGTACAACATCGAACATGTTGTTAGTGTTCGACATTCTAGATCTGAATTACGTTTCAGGTTGGACACTAAGATGTCGAACATGTTCGACAATAATAGACCGGACAAACCGCTATTGTTCGAAAATCAAATGTTGAATAACATGTTGTTCAACAGAAATCGACCATACAGATGTTTTGGGTTCGAAATTTTAGTGTCGAACGGTTTGGAAACTGAATCATTCAAATACAAATTTCATGGCAATGGAAAAAAGTACATAAAACCCTAAAATCTAAGCCAAATGAGAACTCACCAACTATATCTCTAATGTGGAGTTGTTTCCAACTATGTTAAGCACCACTAACGACATCTTTGATGAGAAAAAAAGTGTATTGAGCAATGGGTCTTCACCACTGCTTTAACCTGGTTGAGAATGGGTCTTCACCGGTTTAAACAAAGAATTGAGGGGGAGATGGAAGATCGTGGGTGGGTGGGTGCGTGGGTGGGGTGTGTAAGTGAGTGAGAGTAAAGATGGAAGAATGTGAATAGATTGTGGGTGGGGTGTATGAGTAAGGGTAAAGATGGAAGATTATAGTGTGTATTGAGCAAAACATTTATTTATCAAATTACTAAAGGTGTGCCTTGAAATAAAATGTGATGTGTAAATAAAAACACCCTATTTTCTCTTCAAATCTCATTAAGTGTCTCTAATTTTTTCTTTTCTTTTTTTTTTTTTCCTTTCAATTTCTGTTTACACTTTCTCACCAACTCCACACTCAGCCCCATTTTTTGTACTCTCCTATCCCTCTACAACTCGCACAATATCTACTACTCCCTCTGTTCCAAAATAATTATCCCTTTTAAAAAATCCAACTTTTTTTGATAGTATAATTATTACATTTGAAAAAAAATTAATTTTTCATAATTACTCTTTTGATAGTATATTTTTTTGAAATATCAATGTCTTAATTGTACTTTTTATATTATTTATTAATTTAAAAGAAGGGCAACATAGAAAATTTATATTATTTTTGTACTTGATTTTTGAAGAGGAACTAATATTTTGAAACAATAAAAAATGAAATAAGAGACTGATATTTTGGGACGGAGGAAGTACGAAGAAGATTAAAAAATAAAAATAAAAACAAAATAAAATAAAATACTCATAATTAATATACATATATATGAGATAATTGTAAATAAATAATATACAAATTTGGAGTGTTCAAAATAAGGCCTTGTTTGGTATAATCTAAAAAAGTCAAAAAATTAAAAAATCACTATCCTATTTAAGTCACATCATCTTATTTAAGTCACATCACCTCTCTAATACATCACTTCAAACCCAACTCATATTTTATAAAAAATAAAAAAATACACTTATTTAGATCACCTCAAACTAACCCTAAATCTAGAACACCACGCAACTTTACGAATATCCAATGATATTTTGTGATTTATCCATCGTGTTTCTTGTTTTTCAAATCATGTAAGCATTGGCTCCCTCCAATTAGGCGGGCACACAACACAACCAATATGATATTCTTGGCAAACAGGATAATTAACAACCACGCAAGCGCCTCATTGCAACCATTTTAAAATACAAGCCTGCTCGATCCATTAAAGTTGTTCAATTTGTGTACAAAAAGCTTCGTAAAATTATTCAAGAACAAAGAATAAAGCATTATTAGCTAGAATACAAATATAATACAGATTGTGAACTGCCTTATCCACCACTTTCAAATGCACTGAAAGGAGACCCTCAATACCAAGCCAAACATTTTTTTCCCCCCTTACCGATGGCATTTCCAAAACAGCGTCGGTTCGCTTCTACACTTGACAGATGCAACAATCTGATTTGTCAAGCTTCCACAAAAGATTCCCTAGATTGTGATGGTGATTCTGTGCCATAGTTCCAGAGGTCTTTCAGCTCACCTCTAACCAGACCCAAGATAACAACCAATCCTGAGATACAAAAAATTGAAATACATGGAATTGGTTAGACAAATGTAAGCCAAGAAGATTCCCTTTCCATATCTACAATATAATGCAATATCTGCTTGAAGTGTCGATGAAACACATATTACCTAATGTACATGGAACAAGGTACATCAGAGCCGGTTGACCATTTCCGTCCATTAAATACAAGCCTAGGTAAGTTAAAAGGAGGCCTACAGCAAGAAAAACATCCATTAGTCTCAACAAAAAAATCCATGCAATATGCACAATTTTCAAAATGCAGCTAGCTGAAATACAAAATTATTTTCAAATCTGTGACGAAGCAAACACCTATGGGGTGCAAACTGTCTTCTGAAGACCAAATTACACTCGCACATACAAGTTAAAGTTTGACAAGGGTTCAGATCACATAGAAAACCAAATTGGCACTCCACTTCTACTTTACTGCATTCTACATCCCATACACCATCAAAAGATTGCCAGAACTACATAAGTGAGGGGGTATAGCACCACACCAACAGAATTACACATCACCAGCACATCAGAAAATTCTTCATTAATTTTTTATGCATCTTTCATTCACCTGAGAAATAAAATTTATCTTCTAGATTCTAGGTACCCAAGTTGAAAAGCTCATAGTACTCATCACCAGAAGTGTATGCACACTAATGTGTGCACGAAATCGAGAGTGAAGTGGAGAGAGAGAGTCGCGTGTAATGGACAGCAATTATTGACTGATTTTATTTTTTGGTCCATATAGTAACTACTAGGCAAGATAAATATTTGGAGAAAATATAATATTGTTGCGGGTCTTTTCGGGAATCAAAATTGTGTAACAAAGTTGTTCATGCCAAATGAGTTGTGTGCTTTATATAATAGTATAGCTGTTAATGAAATCTTGCACAAAATTTTATTAGAGTTAACGAAAATTTAGCCAAACTGTGGTTCATCTCATCACCCTGCTCATGGTATCAGACTTCATAGCCAGTGACAAACATTCCAAATAAAACTTCGAATATTGATGTTTGAGCATTTTATAAATGAGTTCGAGGCTAAAAAATAAATGCCTCATACAAACCTCAAAGAGCAGACATTGTAGAGTCTAACTTCCAAAGCAGTGGCAAATTGGCAATGATGGTTTACCAATACCACAAAACATTGGATTGAAGCTGTTGGTTAATATAGATCTTGTTTCTCACAACTTGTAGCATCTAATAAGTTACCTCAATGGATGTTTTCTTCTGCTTAAGCAACATTATATGCTAATTCCACTTGTAAATTAATTTGAACAGTTTCCTCTGAATCAAAACTAAAGTTTTCTTAATATCAAGTGAGGTTTTACTGAAAGGGAATGCTCAAATTTAATATTCAAGAGATTTGATTTACAGTAATTTGAGTCAAATACATTATTGCCTGCATAGACTGCAAATCACAGTTATGTCAATAGGATATGACTTTTCACATAGACGCCGGCTCTTTTTTTTTTTTTTCTCACTTCTCTCATTTTTTTATGACTGAGGGAAAAATTACAGAAACCATGGGAAATTAGTTTTAATTACACACTAGGTGTGGTTTTGCCCTTCTTTCCCTCCTCTCTCTTCCTTCCCTCCTCATCTCTCTCTCCCACACTCTCTCTCTCTCTCTCTCTCTCTCTCTCTCTCGCAGGTTCCTTCGCCAGCGGTGTCGCCGTCATCATTACCAAGCTCTACGCGCAAAATCACACCCACTGCCCACGCCTTCAGCCCTGTTGCCTCCACTCCCACCCCCAACAATCTTCTCCTTAATAGAATCCTCCACAAAGCTCATAAATCTAGGGGTTTTTTTTAATTTCTTTTCTGTTGTCTTTGTTTTTGGCTTTTACTTTTGGTACGGAGGCAATGGCACAGTATTAAGAGGGCTTAATTGATGTAGGACGATTGAAAGAAAAGACCCTCCTAGAAGCTTTGTTACCAAAATTGATGGGAGTTTAAGGTTTATATTACATTAAGAAATGCCTGACCATATTATGCAATTCACACAAGTGTTATCTTATTTAAATTTCAATGACGAAAAAAGAATAAAAGTCATAGAAGTGTAAAAAAAATTAAGCAAAGAAAACAAAATGCAGGAACACCCACCAACTCCATAGCCAATTGTCACCCAAAGGAAGTATCCATTTAGTACACCCTTCTTATTGGCTTTGTCATATCTGCAACAACCAAAAAGGTGTGAGATGAACAGTGATGTTCACACACACACATCAAGACATAAAATGGATTACTAGGAGTGAAGATGAAGTTTATGTCTGCATTAAAATAAAAAATAAAAAAAAGAAAAGAAAAAGAGAATTACCAAAACAGAAAAATGTATCAGATCCTTCTCTAATTTTAAATCCTGTTTTTTTTTTTTCCAGAAAATTTTGTAACCTTATTTTTTGATAACTAAAATGGAATAATTTTGTGTCTTATAGTTTTGTCAAGTAATAGTTCTAACATCTCTCTTTACCATTTATTAGAAAACTTTCTTTCATATAGTTTTGTCCAGTAATAGTTCAACGCAACTATCATTTTTAGAAGCTTAAATCATTAATTAAAATACCTAAAAGAAAATGAAACTAGGAGGCCAGGGAAGAGAATGTCTCCAAAGCCGATCATATCATAACCGCCCCAAGGATCAAAAAGTCTAGGAACTCTCAAAAGCATTGGAATGGATTCTCCACTGTTGTCACCTCGAGCAACCTGTGAATAATTTGAAAAAAAAAGTCAGTTAAACTTGAAAAGGAAGAAAGAATACCACTTCATTTAATTGATAATGCGAATACCATGTATATTAATCAAATTACAACTGATCAGAAATTAAATGGCAGGTTATTCGTGAGTGAAAAAGGCTACTCTACCCACCCAAAAAAAAAAGAAAAAAAAGGCTACTCAACATTAATCATCAACTTGCTAAGAAGTGTATTAAGCAATAAGCAACTAAAACATGTTAAATGTAAATATTAGGAAAATGTTACCATGAGCACCCCTAAAAAGGTGCACATCGGAAGAAAAGTTATAATTTTTGTGGTGAAAGTAACGATTTTATTTATTTATTTATTTATTTATTTATTTTTATTGTGGAGGAAATTACGATTTTTGTGATGAAAGTTATGATTGGCGAACATAAAGTTATGAATGACAAAGTTAATTTTTTTGTGGCAGAAGTTATACTTTTTGTATAAGGCGCATATGATATGCACCCTTTTTGGGGTGCACATGGTAGTCTTTCCCTTCCAACATATATACGCTAGAGCAGAAAAATCCAGGATACAAATGATTGATATCTTTGCTTTCAGAATTAGTGCAAAAGTTGCAGCAACTAGCCAGTTGATCTCAATATTGGTGTAGACATATGTGTAAGCAGCGCATTTACTGCAATCATAACTCATGACACAACAATACGAGCAAAAAACAATGTAAAGAATGAGTATTAACACTTACTGCGATCATAACACTTTCATTGAATATATATGGTGATAAGAAGACCCAAAAGATGTCGTAAAGAAACGCACAGCAAAGAAGCACTGTTGCAACCTGAATGAAGATAGCCGCATCAGATGACATATCTAAAATTTGAACAAAGAAAAGATTATGGATCAATGATCTACTTACCCTTATATTTGGTAATCGGGCCAACTGCAAGACTGTTATCATCAAGCAGATACCCTATCAATAAGAAAGTCATTTAATACCCTGTCAATAAGAAAGTCATTTAACAAGCTACATACCTCCAAGCTACCTCTATTCTTAGGGTTTCAATTGTTCGTTTTTCTCTCGTTCGATAGAATTCTAACAAGGTTTCGATCTGGTTTTGGGTTTCTTTTTCTGAGGTTCTCTTATGAAGATAGATCCCTTGATGTTCAATTGTCCATCTAGGGTATGTCCTATTGGTTTCTCTCGATTCTGTTTCTTAGGGGTTTTGTTCGTTTCAAGACCCTTTCATTGATTGTGGGGCTCTTTTAAATTCTTTTTGATTTGCAATGGCAAAGGTTCTTGGTGAAATCCTTGCATTGTAACGTGGATTCAATGGCTATTTCAGAATCAGACGAGGATAGGTGGCTGAGGGAGAGCAGCAATGATTCAGAGAGGAGCAGCTATGGATATGAGAGGAGCAACACTAGCTCAGGCAAGAAGTGTGGTGGCCAGCTAAGCATGAATCTCTCTAACATGAAATCCCAGGTCTTACATTTCATTTAAAAGGAAGTAATGTAGAATCCATGGTCAATCAAGCTGCTAGCGGTGGAGTGGTTGGTGTTGCAAGGGTGGTGGAAGCGGTGGCTATAGAGATGGTGGGGTGGAGGATGGATGGTGGGAGAGGTGATTGGGAAGGTTGTAGGTGGACGCAAAGATTTGGAGAGACAAACAAGTTTAGGGAGTAGTGGAAGTGGTGAGGCAACTCTTGGCGAGTATGTGGTGATCAAAGATGGGGAAGACGGGGGTCGGGGTGGAGCGTGTGATTCTCACATAGGAGGGGAGCATACAGGAATCGGGGAGAAGCAATGCAGGGTCATGTGTGTTGGGGGAGTTTTTAGAAAGAAATATTTTAATTTCAATAAGTGTGGGAATTATCACTCAAATGAAACTTTAAAATTAGAACAACCCCTAGAACCAAAACCTTTCTCGATATTTGACCCTGTTACAAGTTCCTGCCTCCCCTCCCCCTTCTACGAATACATAAGTGCCTATTGATCAATCTCAATCAAAGCATTGAAAGAAGACTCCATCCCCTCAGTCTTGCTAATGTCCACCACTCCCTCCAACTCATTGGCCTCACCCTTCTTGACGCCCCTCCCCTTTCCTATTCATCAATGAGTCTTGATCAACTACCGTGAATGATCCCACTACATCAGGACCCTCCCACCTTGAGGTTGGGCTTTAGGCCCTATGATTCTTATTCAAGTCTGTTGCATAAAAACAATGGGTCTTATCATTCCCATCATTGCTCCAAACCCAACTATTCCTTTGGTGTGTCCTGCAATGCCTAGGCCCAACTCTTTCCTTCAAAACCAATTGATTGCTTTCACCCCCAAATCCCATTCATTAGATCCAACTACAAACTACCAACCCGAGACTTTAAGATAGCCCGATTCTAGCAAAACTCCATGTACACTCGGCCTTTTAGTTACATATTATCTGTCAAAGGTGTACGTGAACTTTTTTGCACCTTATAGCAGCAAATACATGGGATATCACCCTGAACTATCTACATTGGGGCCCCAATGCCCCCAACAATACCATATACAAAACGGACATGTCCAACTAAACTAAAGCATAAATTTGATCATTTGCAATAAGGATGACACTATTTATGGTAATTGACTAATCACCAAAATACAACACACATACAAGACAAACCTAAATATATGGAACGCACATATATTACATGAAAAATTACTCACTCAGATGATGGAGGGCATCTGCTTGGCTAAATAGAGTTCTAAAAGGCTTACAGTGTAAATATCCATTTCTTCAAAGTACAGCCACCTTTTAACATAATCAATATAAGAAGTGTCCATATTAAACAAGCAATGCTACATCCACCGAATTTGGTGTAACCCGAATTGCCTCAATTTGTTCATGCCAATCGTTCAAATGACAGGATGATAACCGCGTAGATGAGGGTGAAGCCAGTCATCCAGCAGTCATCTGGGCAGTCATCCAGCTGGCACAAATTCGGGCGATTTGGGCGAAAGCAAATTTGGTGGATAAATTGTTTCTGTTAAACAAAACTACAATTAATTGGTAACACTAGACAATGTCTGAACGACTACACTTTGGCAAAACAGGTGATACAGATGAAACTTACAAGAATATCTTGACCAACCCATGAATATGATGCCTCCCTTTTGGCAGCCCAAAGAATGGAAAATACCAAGCAAAATAACAAGACCACAAGAGAAAGAACTGAAATCTCCCCAAAAAGAGGCAAATTCACTTTCTTCTGCCCACAGTTTCTCCATTTGCTGTACAACAAATAAAAGCAGAATAACAAACATATCTGAAGTATGTATTAAGCTTAAAATTTGCAGTTTAATCAGAAACACAATTGGATTTCAAGTATACCTTAACACCAGAGATACTATACAAGCATGCATTCCCTGTAACAAACAAATTCAATGAGCAAGACAAGAATTCAACCCATAGGTTTATTTACTTCTATATTCATTTTAAATGGACACTAAAACAACTAAAACTGCCTCCTTCAAATTGTATGCTTGAACCCCAAAAAAAATAAAAACTGCACTACGACACAGAAGCTCAGAAGTATCAAAACATTGACCTGCACTCATTTGGGAACATGCTATTTTAGTAACTTTTTTGCTTTTTGACTAAAATATGAGGTTAAAAAAATTAATATGTTTGGGATGACTTTTTGGTTTTTTATGAAAAGATATGCAAAAAGTAGAAAGAAAAGAATCTTTGACTTTTTTGTATAAGTTGTTGATTTTTTGGTTTTTTTAGTGATTTTTTTGACTTTTAGGCTAAAATATTGAGTTGCCAAACGAAAACTAAACATTCAATTTTGAACAGAAAATTAAAATAGAGCCTAGCATAGTTGCCATAAGAAAAAAAAAATTAAATGTGGATTAACTGTCCATGAAAAACCTTGGAATGATATTTTCTTTCTTTTACTTGTTCTAACAACACAAAAATTTTGATTAATAAATACACATCTATTTATAACCAAGTGTCGTGTCCTGCATGTTTTGAAAATTGTCATGTTGGCGTGTCCATGTCCTTGCTTATTAGGAGAGGAGTGCAGCTATGAGACAAACTTATGAATATTAGAATGTTCAGGTGCATAGAGTTAAATTACCATCTATAAGTGTTCCACAATTCAATTTAATTTTCCCTGGCAATCAGTTTTCTGCATTGAGTATGAAATATGCACTATTTGATTATTAGTTTCCCCCAAGCAGAAAGTTAGGCAAGCACAACCAAAAGAGGATCAAGAAAAGACAACTTGCATAGCCTGATGATTGCTCAGGCTTGTCAGTGTGCAATCACTATTTTAATTCAGCAACAAACTGGAATAAATAAATAAATAAAGTAGAAGTTAGGTTGATACCTCAGTACCACCAATACAGAAAAGTACAATCAGCAGCCAGACAAACCAAGATGACATGAACAGATAAAGTAACACCAGAAAAATGGATGCTGTTATGACAAAAACTATGGCACTTTTTGCACTAATGTCAAGGATTTCCTTCTCATCGTCATCTTGAACTGTTCCAGCATTGGCAGAATCCTACCAAGGGGAAACATTTAAAGACAATTCACATACTGCATTCCATCAAATATCATATACTACAATATCTTTCTGAGTGAAAAGAATTAAAAATCACAATACAAATAGAGAAAGAAAAATAAACTTAAGGCAAAAGAAGCAATCATGAGAAAGAAATTACAAGATTAGTTAATAGATGTCACATAGGTTTCTCACAGATGAGTGTGTTTGTCCATCTCTCATCCTCAGTATGATAAAGACACAAAGCATTGTGCTCACGGTAGACATATTATGTGCAACTAGAGATGTTCAGAGCCGGTCTGAGAGTACAGTTACTTCAAGTAAAGTTCATAGGATAAACAGGAGGTTAACAGCATATCTGATCTGGTAAGGCCACTACAGATCTAGGATACTGAATAGCAATTTTTCACAGTTTCACTTGAAAAATCAGTTTGGGATATGGTAAAAAAAAGATACAAGCAAGGAACAAAATTTCCTTTAGTTTCCGTTTCCAACCAAAGAGAGACACTAGTGGAATAAGGAAACACCAATGTTTCCACTGAAATACAGAAAAAACATTATGAAATGCATCAAAATGCAACTAACTTAACAAATCAATAAGCTGTGTTGACACAAATTTGGAATCTTTGAGATATGTTCTATTTTTTAACTTTTGAGAAGAAGGGAAAAAAAAGAAAAAAAGATAGTAGTACAGAAATACTATTATTACTACTATCTTAGTAAATTTGCAAATCTTATTTTCTTGGGATCTTATGGACTGGCGGAATCATATACAGTTTGGTTCGTATTAGCATTTACATTTTGATTTTACATTGTTCCTTTATACGAATTAGTGATACATCTATAAATCTGAATATGTTTAATTAACAATTATTAGGTTTTTTCTTATTATACATTTAGATAGATTTTAGCCTGTGTTTCTAAAGATATCATTTATTTCGAATTCTCTCTCTTTCAAATGTGGGTGTTTGGTAGAGCTTATAAGCTGCTTATTTCAGCTTTTAACTTAATTTAAGCTAAAAACTTGTGTATGGTGCAGCTTAAGTTGTGGGCTTATAGCTTAAATGAAGCTAAATTTCAGCTTTTTTGAAAAGTTAGTCAGGGGGTGCTTAAACATTTGGACTTAAGCTGGCAGCTGGTGTGGGGAGATTAAATGACTTAAATGTCCCTCCCAAACTTCATTATTTACGAAACTGCCACTATATATACGTTTGATCTCTCTTGCCCTAAACACACTCGCCTCTCACACTCCTCTCTCTCTCTCTCTCTCTCTCTCTCTCTCTCTCTTCTTCACTCTCTGATTAGGGTTGAAAACCCCATTGAAATCAGCGATTGGCATGAAGAATCACTTCAAGAGAAAGAGAAGTCATTGTCCGAAGATATTTGAAAAGCTTCTCGGTGTTGGTTGATTTGAAAAGCCACTTGAAGCATTGTGGGGAGTCTTAAGTGGAAGTGCTCTCGCGGAACGAACTTCTCGCGGAAGGACAAGTTGTTCGGTTACATGGCGTTTTTCGAGGGCCACACGCCGGCGGTGGTGGAGGAGGACGAGAAGCCCAAAGAAGCTTCTGCAGCAGCAGCGGCGATGGTGGAAGACGATGAAGAAGATGAGGATCGGATGGTGAAGGAGGCTGAAACAGGGGCTAATTGTGGGGACAATGGATTCTTTGATGATTTGCTTGATGGGTTTGGTTCGATCGAAGACTATTGTTTTCAAGATGTATTGGAATCTCCTAATGGTTTAGGTACTACTGCAATGAATCAGTTCTATAACTTTTGACATAGGTCTGGTATATTTCTTGTTTGATGTATACCGTTGTCTAATTGTATGTTCAGGTATATGTATAATGTATATTTATTCTTTGTTTAGAGGGGTTCTTTTCAGTCTATCTTTATCATCTCTGGTGTAGTAGCCACTGATTAATTTTTGCAATAAAAGGATTGATCTTGTTTAGCTCTGTTGGCTAAAGTTGAATACTTGAGAAATATTTTTCCTTTTGAATTGTTGATTTGAAGATTGTAGTTCTGAGCTAAAAATTGAATCGAGTAGACTTGGTTCAATTATTAGTAAAGATTAGGTTTCTTGGTAAAGACTAACTTCTATTGCAATTTCATTCAGTGCTGAATATGTCATAAAGATCAGGATTTTTTGGACATGCTGGTCTGGAAACAGTCACCAATGATGAGAGAACGTAAAATATGAACATGGTATGGAAATTTTAATTATTATTCCTTTGATCATCTGAGGATTGAGGCCTTGAAAAGTTGAGAATAGTTGGGCATTTGATAAGAAGATTTGTAGGAAGAATTTCATTTTTTTCTTTTCGAGGAAAGGATTTGAGCTAATGGAAAATTTGTACTAAATTCGGTAATATTTATATCAACTTCTATTAATAAAATAACTTTTTCAAAATTTAAAGTGAAGAAAATGACAAAATTACAATTTTTATGTTCACAAAGGCAAAAATGTCAATTACACAGCAAAAAGCTATTTCACAGCTTATTTACCAAACACTATTTTGTTGCTTAAATCCATAATCTCACAGCTGCACCAAACAGGTTATCAGCTTATGTTCACAGTTGTAAGCTATAATCTGCTAAGCTATAATCTATAATCACTTTCCCACAGCTCTTGTCATGTTTCTTTGGCAATTGAATTGCCAACAAGTCTGTGCCTTGTCATACTGTTTGATGCAGATCATAAAAGATCAAGAAAAATAGAGAATTAAAGAAGCAACAAAATATGGAATTGGTTGGTTTCAAACTGAACCCACTTGGACCTACTGAAAAACTGTAATCAAGTTGTCTTCATGGAGTCTTTTTTTATACTAATTAGGCTAGGTATTAATATGGTTGTTTCCTTACAGGATTTCTATTATTTCATAAGTATTTTGGTAATTTCAAAACACGGGCTGTAAAGGTCACCAATGACTGTTCTTATTCATAAGTCGTATTTGGTTTTATATAGGTTTGAGTAGAAGGTCTAGATTTCCAACTAGAAAATCAAAATCCTACTAGACCATTAGGCCAAGGGGTTCTCTAAAGCCTATATAAAACCATGTAATGATTCTTCTTCAATAGAGTTGAGTTTTAGAGAATAACCAGAGCTTTTGAAGCTTCTTTGAGATTGTGTGATGCATTCCTAACCCTAAGTGCGATGCCTAGACTTTTTGTCTTCTTTCTTTTACTTCTCTTTTCCCCCTTCACTTTTACACTGTAAAACTCAACAACCAGATCTGTTTCAAGCATCCTCACAACATAAATCTTTCTTAACAACACTAATTTGTTGCCCACTGCAATTACTCAACCCTAGTGCCTAAAAGAATGAAAAACATCCCTCTAATACTGTTCACAGGTTACCAGTTTATAATCTCTGGACAGCCTCAAGCAATCCTCTATTGTTGTGTAGTTACACCCCAGAACCCTACCCCTTGTTAACCCATATAAACTCTACAAGCTTATATATTTTTACCATTTCAGTCACACAAATTATTAATTTCAGCCCTCAAATTATAGCCTTTCGCTGCTGCATCTTACTAATTTTGGGCTCACTTACTTGTGGGATAGTGTTTTCACCACTCATCCTACATCACCATGTGTGATCTCTGTATCTGTGTTTCTTAGATTTCCAACAAAGCTGTGCATAAATAGTGACTACAATCATATTTTCTCCTTGAATTCCCTCCCTGCATACATTTTTCCTTTTCAAGTATATCCAAGTCTTCTTTTGTACTAGCTAATGCTAGTTCCAGAACAATTGCTTAGAGGAATGGCTAAACCCACTTAAAATTTTGTTGATGATGTCAATAACAGACCAAGTCAGAAGTCACATGAACGGGAGATCATTTTCAGAGTATTCCCAAGTCCTTGATGGTAACATCACTAAATGAACAAGTGAGAAGCAAAATATACCGGTAGGGCCATGTTAAAAAGCTGAATTTAGAGCAGGTGTGTACAGCCTGTGACGTGATATTAATTATTTTTGCACAAGACATGATTTATTAGTAGGACAATTAAGTGCATGATGTGACCATCAAACTCATGCATTTTGCCTCTAATCCATTAATCTACAAGAAAGCCAAACCTATAGAGACAGACTGATACTTCTTATAACACACAATGATGACAAAGAAGATTTTTAGTCTACATTAAATCTGAAGACCAAGTTAGTAACAATTTTACAATAAGGCTAGAGATTTTTTGGATGTGTAGCTTCTCAAAGCTGGGCTTTTATTTTTTTTGGAACTATATAAGCTCCAGCTTAAGGCGAAGTTTTCAAGTGGTATTACGCAATAAGGGTAAATTTTAAGTTGAATTTCCAATAGAACAAGTTCCAATAAAATGTCAAAGAATGTGATTAAAGAAAGCACAATATCAATAAGCAATTCATAATTAAGATGAGTCAATTTTGTGGTCACGTAAAAGAGATATCTATGTAACAGGCGTTCAAGCTGCAGAAATTATGAATTTTAAGGCTAAAATGGTGGTTTGTATTATTTAAAACCTTCAACAGTTCATTATAATGCTCATCATTCTGCCCACTTGTAGTAAATTCTGACCAAAGCGAAGCACAGACAATCGTCCCCACAGCCATTAGCCATAAGAGCACCACGGAGACATCCACAATTGGACGATCTGGCGAATATAACGTAAGTTCCACTACATTGAAGAACACATGATTAGTCATACTACATCAAATAAGAAGAAACTAGAATCAAATGAGAATACCAATACAACATGTTAAAATGCTGATAATGCAAAAGCTCAAGTCCACTCATTGAAGGATACATGGTTCGTCAGACTACCTCATACAACAATAAGAAACCTAAAAAGAAAATACAAGCATATTAAACGACAATGCAAATTAAATTCACACACAGCATTGCAAAACTGGAAGGTTTAGCCATACAATGGTGGAGGAAATAATCTTAGCAATCCATTAGCTTTTTTCAACTAAAAAACAATACGAAAAAAATAATTTGAATATCCAATCTCTCTCCCTCTCTCTAAAATCAAAATCTAATGCTTCATGTGTCATTCTTCACTCATGAACTTCACTAAATCATGCCGGGAAGAAAAAATTAAGCAATCAACAACATCAGATCAAAAGAATTCACCTCATTGATCTTAAACTAAGGCATAAATTCAAAGAAGATGGTCTGTTTATATTGACTAATATAATGAGTGAACATTTATCAAAAAAAAAAAAAAGTCAAATATAATGAGTGAACTATCAGATACACAAGACAGAGGCCTCCATTTGACAGAACAATCTTGTCTAAAACGTAGGTCTTTCTCTTTTACAAGTCCTACTAAGACAGAAAACCCAATAACAAAGGGGATTCAAGTCTGTGCACACAAAAGGAAGAGGAGGAGTGCACACACAAACACATTCCGTGCATACAGGCAGAAATAGACAAGTAATACATGTAAAAGAACTCAAATCTCTACACATACAAACAGACAAAAACTTCAACCCAAAAAAAAAAAAAATCCTTAGTTATTGTACAAAATGCTTTCTGAACCTCACAAAAGAAAGCAGTTTACACTTTGCTACATCTATCAATGAGTCATAACTGAAATCCAAATTTCTGCAATTCAAAATCCCTCAGACAATGGCACAAGGAAACCTTCCAAAGCATCTTTTCTTTTCGGATAAAAAAGCAAATACTATTAAGAAAGCAGCAAGATGATGCAACCAACAAGAAAACCACCCCAGAAAGGGGAACCAAGAAAACAATGGCTAACCAATCACTTTATCTAAAAAATCTAAAAACACAAATAAATCCGGATCTACCCTACCCTCCAACCAACTGTACAAAACTACAAGAAGACGACTTTGCAACCAAGAAACACTATGAGAAACCTCTAAGAAGGTACGTCTATTTCACTCCAACCAAAGCAACCACATTAAACAAAACGGAGCCAATAACCAAGCTCGTCGCTGCCACCGGCCAAGACGAACGTCCCGCCAAGCCCAAAGGAGATCCAACACCCCCTGCGGTTGAACCCAAGCAAGCCCAAAAAGTGAACAAACGAAGCTCCACAAACACGAAGCCACCGAGCAATGGAGAAACAAATGATTCACTGTCTCCGCATCCTCGCAACACATGCAACACCGATTCACTAGGATGTGCCCCCGCCGCATCAAATTATCTAAAGTAAGATTCCGACCTAAAGCTACCGTCCACATGAAAAAAGCAACCTGAGTTGGAACCCCCGGAACCAAAACACTTGTCCAAGGAAAGACCCTACCAGTATCCCCCATCAACCCCTGACTATGAAGCACGAATACTTTAAATAGGAAGACGTATCTGTATCGTATCCGTATCGGATACCGATACTCCTTGGATACTTACGGATACGTATCAGATACTTATTAAAAGTATCAGATACTTCTTAATTAATTTTTCATTAATTTTGAAGTATCGGATACTTAATTTTGAAGTATCAGATGCTTCAAGTCACATATTGTCGGATACTTCTTAATTAATTTTGAAGTATCAAATGCTCCAAGTCAAATATTACTCCTTTTACGAAATTAGAATTGTATCATTTCTTGCATAACATCATAATATAATATAACTGCGAGGATAAATAAAATATTTTTACAATACTTTGCTTAGTTTTTTTATAAAAATAACATAGTAAGCTAAAGTTATAGAATTCATCAAATTGACATATCTTCATTGTATCATGCATGTCCCCTATAACTACATAGAAGTAAGGATTAATAAGATAATATAATAATAGTAAAATTAAATATCAATAAATAAATAAGCAAATAAACTTGCATAGAATATTTTTGACTAGTGCAAAAGAAAAAAGTATAGGGTCAAGTTGTGGATTGTTTTGATATTATAATATCAACATATTAGACTTGATATTGAAATGAAATATTTGCAAGACCTATTGAAAATTTAAAAACTAAACTAGCTATTGTCTTAAATTAATACCTAATTCTTAAATATTAGTATTTTACATCATAAAGTTACTGTGGTTTCTCAACATTCTTGAACTTATGTGTAACTCACTGCTAATAATTTATTTATTTTTTATGTTTTACAAACGTATCCTACCCGTACCCATATCCTACTTTTTTAGGTTTTGCTGTATCGCCGTATCCATATCGTATCGTATCCGTACCTCATATCCGTATCCGTGCTTTCTAGACCCTTGATAAAATGATGCTACTGCGAACCGACCCTTTGCCCCCAGCCCAATCCATACCAAGACATCTGGGCCCACCCCAACCGTTCCCAAACCATATAAAAAGCCTCACAACTCCATCAACTGAACGACTTCCCAATCATGAACCTCCCGTCGTAATTGAATATCCTAGACCACCACACCCCCACCAGCCAAATAGGAAGCCACCAATGCATCTTGATCTGTCGCAATATTAAAAATCAAAGGGAAACGGGTCTCTAACACAAACTCCCCACACCACTTGTCTTTCCAGAACCGCACCCTACTCCCCTCCCCCATCTTAAACCCTATCCACTTCCAAAACTCCACCCTCCCCAGCCCAATGCAGTACGGACACGGACACGCGAAAACGTAATTTTTCAAAAAATAGAGTACACGACACGCTGGGGACACGTTTAATATATATAATTTTATTTATTTATTATATATCTAAAATAAAAATAAAATCATTAATTCTTATATAATCAAAATAATAATAAAATTAATAAATATATATTTTTAAAAAATTAATAAAAAATAAGTTTTTTTAAATAAAAATAATTTATTTTATGAATTTTAAGTTTAATATAAAAATAAGGATAAAGAAAAAAGAAAAAAGAAAAAAAAAGAAGGGGAGAGAGAAACGTTGAATCAAGAAAAGAGAGAAGAAAAAAAATATAAAAAAGAAACGATAGAGGAGAAAGAGAGTGAAGTCAAAAAGCAAAAGGAGAGAGTCAGGAAAGGGAGGAGGAAAGGAAGAAAGTGAAGAGGAGAAGAAGAACAGAGATGATGGAGACAGAGAAGACGAAAACGAAGAGAAGAAGGAGAAGAAGAGAAGAAGAAGAATACCTCAGCTTCAGCTTCTTAGATTGATCTGAACAGGTTAGGCTTCTCCTCTCCCTCGATCTCTTTCTCTCTTTCTCTGTCTTCTCTCCTCCTTCGATATTTCTCTTTCTCTGTCACCCTCGATCTCTTTCTCTGTCTCCCTCGATCCCTTTCTCTCTTTCTCTGTCGATCAAGGAAAATAGTTAGGGCTTCTTCGATCCACCTCACAAGTGTCCGAAAAGTGTCCTGCCGTGTCCATGGCGTGTCCGACTGGAAGATTTCAAAAAAAAAAAGAAGACACGTTAGAGAGAGTGTCGGACACGTGTCTACCGCGAGTCCGACGCGTGTCCGCGTCCGTGTCCGTGTCCGACACGTGTCTGACACTTGTACACAGAGCCTGGGAACGTGTCGATGCTTCATAGCCCCAGCCAAATCCCTTTCCATAACCCACACACATAAGTACAAGACACAAACCCAGAAACCCAACCCCATCTGCCCAACCCATATTTAGACGCCATCACCTGCAGCCACAATTTGTGAGGCTCCAAAGCAAAACGCCAGAGCCACTTCCCTAACAAGGCTCAATTAAAGGATGGTTTGGGATGATCTAAATTAGTGCACTTTTGACTTTTTATGAAATATGGGTTGGGTTTGAAGTGGTGCGGTAGAGAGGTGATGTGACTTAAATAGGATAGTGACTTTTTGACTTTTTGCTTTTTTAGGTTATGACAAACCGCGGCCTAAAAGTCACCAACCGCCGCACCCCCAGCCCTCTAGCTTGCTTGGGTTGACAAACCTGTTCCCAATCCACCAAATGATACTTAAAATCATCACCACCACTTCCCCACAAGAAGTCCCTCTGAAGCTTCTCCAACCGATGCGCCACCGACACTGGAATAACATGGACCGACATGAAATAAGTGGGGATACTACTCAACACACTCTTAAGCAAAGTCAAACAGTCGCCTTTCGAAAGATATTGGCACTGCCAACCTGTCAATTGATGTTGGACCCGTTCCATAACTCCGTCCCACACCCCTTTTGCCTTAAAAGAAGCCCCTAACGGCAAACCCAAATAGGACACTGGCAAAACCGAGACCTTACACCCCAACACTGCTGCCATGACAAGTAACCTAGCAACCGCCCCAATTGGAATAAGCTCCGACTTCCGCAAGTTAACCCGAAGGCCCGAAACCACCTCAAAACAAAGCAAAACACATCGCAGATATCCAACCTGCGCTGCTTCCGCACTACAAAAGATCAAAACATCATCTGCATATAACAAATGCGACACCCCCAAAGGAGTGCCCGCCAATGAACCCACAGCAAAGCCTTCCAATAGACCTTCGCGCACAGCTCTATCCAACAATCTACTCAATGCCTCCATCACTAAGATAAATAGCAGGGGGAACAAAGAATCCCCCTGTCGAAGACCTTGATGTGTTTGAAAGAAGCTCGCTGGAGTCCCATTAATCAACACCGACATCCGCACAGTCGAGATACGGAACTTAATCCACTGACACCAAGTTTCCCCAAAGCCTATACGATCCAGTACATACAAGAGGAACTCCCAGTTAACATTGTCATACGCCTTTTCAATATCCAATTTGCAAATCAAACCAAGACACCCCTAACGAATCCAAGAATCCACACATTCATTAGCAACCAATACTGCATCTAGGATCTGCCTCCCCCCAACAAACGCATTTTAAGACTCTGATACCACAATCGATAAAACTCCTCGCAGACGATTTGCCAACACTTTAGCCAATAACTTATACACACTCCCCAGCAAATTAATAGGCCTAAAATCCTGAATATCGTCAGCCCCTCATTTCTTAGGAATCAAAGCCAAAAAAGTTGCACTGAAACTCTTCTCAAATTGCCCAGACACCAGGAAATCCTCCATAGTTGCCATGACCTCACGCTTAACCATACTCCAACAATGCTGGAAGAAAGCCATAGTGAAATCGTTTGGACCTGGGTCTTTATTTCCACTCATAGCCCACAAAGCCCCGAACACCTCCTCCTCTATAAAAGCTCGCTCCAACCTCTCTTGATCATCTCCCAGAATCATATCAAACTAAACACCTTCCAGGCCCAGCTGCCATACCCACTCTTATGGCCAGAATAAATTTTGGCAGAAGCCCACTACCCCGTCCCTAATATCTCCATCTGTGTGCAGTTCTCGACCATCCACCCATAACCTACTAATCTGATTAAGCCTCCAATGAGCATTGGCCATACGATGAAAGAATTTTGTATTTCGATCCCCATCCTTTAACCACAAACATTGACGAAAACAAACCTCCTTTATACGGGATATACGAACAAAATCATGTCTAGCCGCCGCCTTACGAATACCGACCTCAGTAGACAGCCCATCCTGCACCTCCACCTCTAGCTCATCCAAAGATTGAAGTAAAGATACCACCGTAGCTTTTTGGCCCTCTAGCCGACCAAACACCTCCTTATTCCAAGTTTTTAAGGCCGCTTTCAACATCTTCAATTTTGAGCCAACACACAACTAGAAGAACCAAGGACCACATAGCTATTCCACCATCCACGAACCAACTCTAGAAAACCCTTTTGTTGCAACTATATATTCTCAAAATGAAATGGCGTAGGATCACGTTGGATCCCCCCACTATCCAACAAAATGGGCCAATGATCAGACACAGGTCGAGGTAAACGAATCTGAACCACCTCAGAAAAGTGCTCCTCCCAGCCCACAGTAACCAAGAACCAATCAATTCAAGACAAGCTCCGGCCATTTGACCATGTGAAGCTCCCCCCTAATAGGTAAATCAACCAATTGTAAATCATCAATGAAAGAACAGAAAACCCGCGTTGCCCCCGAGCTCCTCGCATTCCCCGCCTTCTCCGATGGCCAACGAACAACATTAAAATCACCCCCTACACACCAGGGAACATCCCAGCGAAAGGCTATGTTCTCCATCTCCTCCAAGAACAGACCCCACTCTAAATTCTGCACAGGCCCATATACCCTAGTAAAACCCCGAAGGAAATTATTCTCCACACAACGGAACAAACATGATACAGAAAATCCTTCTACCTCCTCCTCCTCCTCCTCCTTCACCACTACCCTCTTATCCTAACAGAGAAGAACCCCACCTGCCGTGCCTAAAGAGGGCAAAAAGGTCCACTCCACAAACCTCCCCCCCCCCCCAACACCTCCAGGCTCCACCCCCACCACTTCCATCTTCGTCTCTTGTAAACACACAACGTCCACTTTAGCACTTAGCAATACTGCCTTCACCGCCACCCTTTTGTCCTTATCATTCAAACCCCACACATTCCACAATACAATTTTTAATTTCATTTCAACCAGCAATGGGCCCCTCCGGTCTCTCTTTTCACCCCGTCCTACATTCCTCACACCATGATCATAATTCACAGCACATTCCAAATTTTTGAGCTCCCGATTACCTTTAGAAGGGGTCACCAATGACCAAGACACCCCTGGACTGGGAGTCCCTTGCCGCCATGAAGCCTCCACCGCCGAAAAAAGTTGCATTGCCTCATCTTCGCGGCCTTCAAATGACAGGCCCAAACAACGGCTAACTTCACTAATCCGGTCCAACACCCACTGGGACATAGCCTCAGCCGAAGGGATTTCCTCCCCCAATAATCCACCAGTATCCTCAAACGCCCCCTGTTTTTGTTTCAGGCAAGCTACCAAGTCACTGTCCGGCTGGGATTGTCAGTCATTCGACTCTGAGGCTGCCGACTATGAAGTACCACTCTCCGACGCCACTACCAATCGCGACCCTTGTTCATCAGCAGATGGGGCACGGTGGACCACCAACTCCAGTCCAGACGGCAACTCAGATCCTCGCCGGTGGGCGCCTGTCCCTGTCGAAGCCGCCCGACTCGACTCGCCTGGATGTAGGTCGCATGAAGCTCTACAACCCACCCCTCTCGAACCGACCCACAAAAGGATCTACAAGACTTTTGGGCTGCCCAGAAAAGCCCACATCACCACCCCTGACTAGGCTTGAGTAACCATCCCCTTGTGGGCTTGACTGGTAGGCCACAGACCCCACTCCCTTAACTTCCTGGGCCCCCCGTTGAGTCCCCTTATTCTTGACCATAACCCACTTACGTTGGCCCACTTCTCCGTTACAAGGTACCTGGGCCTGTCTCCAGCCCAACTGCCCTCCCTTAGACCCCCTTAGATGGCCCACCGCTGCCCCCCACACGTTGGGTAATATTGTCCCGAAAACCCATGGATCTCGCCTCTCTCCTAAATCTGTGCAAATATTCATTCACCCCTATTCTTGGCTGAAATCCCTGCCCTACTTGCCCAAAATCCTTCCTTGCCATATGCAGCCCAGAACCCCCATCTTTCTCGGTCGCCGGCGTCCACAATTCCACCACCGGATCGGCCTCTACCCATACTGGCAGCGAAAATTGCCACATCCGCCAACGGAAGGAGAGTCGCGAAGGCGTAAACACTGAACATCGCACACGAATCCGAATAGAACCTAGATCCACCGACGACCCATCCGCCTCGATAAAGCCACCACATCGATCGCCGATAAAACGAAACACTGCCTCCCCACGGAGATGAATAGGCAGACCCATCACCCAAATCCACACACTCTTCTCAAGCTGCGATGTCTTTCCTGAAGTACAGAGAGCCAGTGGTGACCACCACTCCAACAGTAAATCACACCCCTTCACTATCCACCGTTGTCACAGCAACGCTTCCGCCTCACTTTTGGTTGACAAAACGAACAAGAAAGCTTTATCTCCCAATGGTCGTACCTCCACCTTCCCCATATGCTTCCACCACTGTCCAACCCAGTCAGAGATAGTCGCGAAACTCAAGCCTTTGCCCCCCCAACCCCCCATCTTGCCGCCTAGCGGCCTATCCAAGATCCAGAACCAATCCACCTCCACCTCAAAGCTAACAGCCCCTACGGAATCACATCCGATGGCAGAAAACATGGTCCCAGAAGAGGACGGTACCTTCCTGAATCCAATGGGCCGGGAGACCTTCGTATCGCTCAGCCCAAAGCCATCGACAACCAGCGCCACCCCTTCCCAGCCATCACCGAACGCAGACACAGGTATGTAAACTTGTTCTCGTTGCTTCCTTGTGGTGACAACTACTTGAAACGATGTCCCCCTTCCTTCCTCACCTCGTACCTAGACTGCTGTAGTCCGACTACCCCCAGTGAGACGGCCCCAAAACTTTAGGCTGCTGGGTTCCTTAGATGCTAACCTCATTCTGGCCACCATCCAACGAGCGTCTGAGCCATTCAGCACCACCGCTCGTCATAACCCCTCCCCCCTCTCAACAATCGTTAACCGACACTTCCCATCCACTCCCTCCGACCCCTCCTCAAACTCAAACGACAGGCCGCCGAGGAAAAGAATCCACCGGTGTGGCCCAACTTCTTTCCTTACTGGGAACATTACCCTCCTATAATTGCGGAGAACATTTTTTCAACAATTGCTTATATTTTTTATCAAAATGTAAAACTCTCAACCTAAATATTAAACCTTCCAAAGCATCTGACTAACAGAATCCTAAATAGTCAACAGTTTAAAGCATGTCACACTTCCTCTTATCTGTTTTTCCCATTTCCAATTACCGTCATCAATCATCTTTCATTCCCTACCTTACCAAACATATACACAGATAAAGCTTCCCATCTTTTGCAGGTTTAAAGAGCCCAAACCCAAAAACTCATATAGCAAAAGGTTAAAACACAGTAAAAGTTCAATGGAATTTTAGAAACTTAAGGGCTCACCTCTCTTTCCACTTGTCATGGATTTGTTTATAGCCACTCCTCCTGACTTGGAGATCATCACAACAGGAATTGTGATGTTTGCAATGTGATTATCAGGACAAGACATCTCCAAAAGATCTGTAATGCGGCTCAAAAAAGAAAAAAGAAAAAAGAGACAGGGTAAGAAAATAGGTCAGAGATAAGGTGTCAAAGAAAGAGACTTATAGATGGCATTGTTTATAATTCACAAAGAACCATCCAAAGTTAGAATTGTAAAGTCAGATTTCAAAACTCTATGAACATGGTTAAATGCACCAAATATTACAACCTTCTCCATCATTTATGACCAACAAGCCTGCTGCACCTGCTGATTGAGCAACTTCAGCCTTAGTCATGAAATCACAATCACCACGTGTAGACAAAGCAAAAGAGCCAGATATCTGCACACAATAAAGGAGAATATTTGCACCAGGCTTGGGTGATGAAATACAACAACTATTGAAAAAAAATTATTTAATAGGCACCTTCTTGCTTTGTAATCATTAACAAATTTATCAAAAAACACTCCACGTTTCCAAAATATTTTCTATCTTTCAAAAATGTAAGAAAATAAGCAAGGCTTGCAACTAAAATCGAAATTCCAAAACAATATTAAGGATCTAACAATCTGTTCAGTTTGTCAACACAAGTTCTGAAAGAAAAATAAATCTTGATGTTGAATATGTTTGTATGAAAATGCAGTTCAAAACTTCCACCACATGGATGCTGCTCCCATTTTTAAGTATCATATGACAAAATTGCTTTCAACTCTTTAATTATCCATCTTTTCCTTTTATGCCAAATAGAAATCTTTCCATAATTGTGTTATTACTTCTATCATTTTCTAAATCATCACCCTCTTTTAATTAATTTACCAATTAATGCCTGCTTTTTATAGGTAAGTATAATTACTCTCTCTCTATCTTCTCGATTGCACAACCGGTTTTTTTTAATGAATTTCATGTCTGAAAATGCTCTTTTCACCCTTAAGATTGTCATTGGTAAAAAGCTAACATAATTTCACAAGCAAGTAACTGATACTTTTTGAAATTTCGTTTCGACTCTTTATAGTGGGTTCAAATTCTATAGATCAGTCGGTTCAATTTTCCCTAAAAATATAAATACAAATTTTTTTTCCAAAGTTTTTCTAAAATCTAGTGGTGTCAATTTACACCACGCTTATATATGTCAAGCCGCCCAAAAAGATACTTTATACATGAAATTGATATCTACTGTTACCAACAATTGATTCAAGCAACAACTCATGCAATCAATTTCATTTGTCAAATCCAAAGTGAGTTTTTAAAAAAATAATCAAATATAAGTTTGATCTGAAAAACTAAAGAGTTTTAGTCAAAATTTTATCCTTCTTATCAAATTTTGAGAGTGACATCCATTTATTCTCACTTCTTCGTATAGCTTAATGAAAATCTAATTCGTTCTTAGTTATTGTACAGGCACTATAGACTCAAAATTTTCATTTAATAAAAAGATTATCAAATGTATAATATTGTACAGTGATTTTCCCTTGCATCCTATGAAGCACGGATACTCTGAAATGGCCCCCGTACGCGTATCGGATACGGATACGCGCCCGATATGGCGGGATACGTATCAGATACGGGAAAAAGATTATCCTATTTTGTTTTTAATTTTTTTAATTTCAGATACGTTTGGGATACGCGAGGATACTTCAAGGATACGGTCGGGATACTTTCGGAATACGGCGGGCAAAAAAATAATTTAAAAAACATATAACAGGGGTCAAACTATAAAATAACAAAATAGGTAAAATAAAACCAAAAAAAAACAAATCAACCAAACCCTACCTAGTCGCGATAGCAGCAGCAAAGAGGAGAGGAGATGAGTCGTCTCTATCACTAGCTCGTCGTCGTCTCTATCAGCAGCTCGTCGTCTCGTCGAACAGTAGCTCGTCGATCGATCAAGTTCATCCCTTTCTCTCTCTCTCCCTCTCGCTCGATCTCACTCTCTCTTTCTCCCTCTCTCTCTCGCTCAATCTCTCTGGTTTGGATGGACAGATCTCCTTCAATCTGACTCTCTCCCTCTCGCTCTATCTCTCGCTCTCCCTTTCGACCTCTGTAGACTGGCCCCATTTGATATGTATATATATATATATATTTTTTTAGACGTATACTCTGTCAGTAATATTTTTGGCCCATTTGATATCATATATATATATATATATATATTATCTTTTATATATGTATAATTTTTTTTTTTTTTTTTATAAGAGAACTTTGTAAATTAGTTTAAATTAATTTCTTATAAGCAAATAAATAAATAAATAAACTTATTATTAAATAAATGAATTTTGTAAATTTTCCCCCCCTTAATTTGAATTGCATTATGGTTGTTGTTATGGGTGATGCTGTATTGTTGAAATTTAGGCCAAGTTTGGCATCTACTAAATAATACAAAAAGTCAAAAAGTCACTACCCTATTTAAGTCCCATCATCTTATTTAAATCACATCACCTCTCTAACACATCATATCAAACCCAACCCATATAAGCCAATAAGTCAAAAAGTGCATTTTTTTAGAACATCCCAAGCCAACCCTTAATTGAATTGATGAATTTTTATTTTTTTTTAATGTTCATGCCAAAAGATAACTACATTAATGAATTTGAATTAAAGTTTTATTTTTATGTATGCTACGTTACTAAAAATTGTAAAAATAATATTTTTTATGAATATATCCCCGCCGTACGCGTATCCTAATTTTTCAAATTTTGTCGTATCGCTGTATCCGTATCGTATCGTACCAGTATCCCGTATCCGTATCCGTATCCGTATCCGTGTCCGTGCTTCCTAGCTTGCATCTCATGGACACAAATGTAGTTACATATATTTATTTGGCTTATCCAGGGTAGCTGTTTTGGGGAACCAGAATAATGTAACCTTGTGGTCGAAAATTTCACTAGATTTTCCTTATCATGTTTCCTTGGAAACAAAACAGTGAGAGTAAGGAAACATTCACCGTTAACATAAAATTGCACATAGAATCCATGACAATGTAAGAAATAGATGAAACAAGATCAATCAAGAAAACAAGGTAAACCTTTGAAGAAGAGCTGGAACAGCCGTTCAACGGATTTGCAAAAACAGCAGGCAACTTGATGCTGTCTTCAGCATGAGTGGGCAAGTTACCACCAAATCTCGCAGTTAATCCACCTAATACATCACCTTCGACACCATTAACCAAAATCTTAACCTTGACCTGGGAAATAAATTTAGCAAACAAATCATATTATTAGTTCATGTGCAACCTCTTCTCCTTGGGCTAAAAGTCTAGAAAGGAAATAATATTTTGCCATTAAAAATATTTAATAATTTTTCTGGCGTAAGGTTTTTTTTTTTTTTTTTGATAAGTAAGAGTAAGTATTATTAATAAAAATGGCACCTATGGGGTGCCGCCCCGTATTCAAAAAGAAAAAAGAGCCAACTTCCCAAACTTCAAAGCAAACAAGACTCCATCAAACTATACATCCAAAACAAAACTATTGAAAAGCCTCTACAAAATCCAAAAATAAAAATTGGTTCGAGGATGGATTTATGCCATCTGAGAACCAACTAAACAATATAGACAAAAAGGAACTCCAAAACTTGAAACGAAGCACCTCCACCCCTTCAAAGGTCCTATTGTTCCATCCTCTCCAAATGATCCATATTAGAACCAACAGCACCAAGTTCCCTCTCACAAGCATATCTCCACAGCCATTGCCAAACCACCACAGCAAAGTGTTAGAATCAGAGCTAGGACTGGGAGGCATTATCCGAAGACATCCTACCGAAGCAATCTAGAGGAGGTCCTTCCCCCTCAGGCACTCTCTTAAGAAGTATTTCTTCCCTATCTCCTCCTTTCAACCCATCTTGTTATTTTTTCTTTTAATAAAAAATTATATATATATTGTATTAAAAGATTGTGCCAAGGGGACACAACCCTTATAAAACCACCAAAAATTTATTTTTTTGTTAAGATTACTTTAGTTGAGTTTTGCCTCAATCCAATTTATTGATGCCCCCACCTTAGATTTTGGAAGTCTCTCCACTAAAAGTAGAATTGCCAAGAGATAACATTTATGAGCATACTAAGTAAGCTTATATAAATTGGTATAAATAGACTTTCAAATGTGTTTGCACATAGCATCAAAGATTAAGATGCACTGAATGTACTTTAATACTAGCAAACACAATTGATAGTGAGTAATTGAACTAAAGTGAAATGTGTAGTTAGTGGTTAAAATGTTGGTACAACTGTGTCAGTATTCTTTCTTATCTTTTCCACTGGTCACCACTCCAACCAAATGATTCTATGATCTAGCGTTACCAATATCATATTCTCTCACTAATACAGGCTAACACTAGCAGACTATAATTTACTGTCTCTTTACAACATCTATGGCGACAAGAAAGAAGGCAGTCAATCCTGACATGGGTCAAGGTGGTTTAGGTTCTTTTGTCCATGAAACCACTTGAAAATCACACAAGATAGAAGTTATGCCCAAATCAGTGCGATGATATTTTCAACCTTTTTTTTTTTTTTTTAACTATGTAAGCTTATTACTGCTTTTATGCATGGTTTGCTCCACCTAAAATACTCCACCTCTATCACAAACCCTGCACAAATTGTGTAAGAACATATAGACCTGACGCTGCTTGGATCAGCTACAAAAGCAAAAACCCGTTTGGGAAGTGCTAAAAAAGCCCCCAAAAAAACCTTTCTGGTAATTCCCAAATATATCAGCTTTTTTAGATTCCTGAAACTCCAAAATTATCCCAAATCGCGCACAAATGATGTAACAAAAAGTAATAATAATAAAATAATGAACTGGGTAAGCAAGAAAAATTGAAAAGAAGGAAACTTGATGAACAATTAGTCTAAAACAAATGAATGGTTTAATCGATCGAATGATTGCTTGATTGAAATTTTACCAATCTAAGTAAATTGTCGCAAGAGGGAGATTTGGGGGCGGACCCATAATGCGAAATGTCATCGGCAGACGCAATTGATGTAGAAAACAGTAAGAGGAACCCAAATGTGATAGCCAAGTTCAGCTGAGAGCACTTCATGCCCATTGTTGTTGCCAGTTCATGCTGATCTTCTTCTTCTTCTTCTTCTTCTTTCCAATTCAATTTACGCCATATATGTATGTATGTATGTGTGTATAGAAGAAGAAATCTGAGATGAGATGAGAATTATGCCATAAGATTCGTGGGGACGTCAATTAGGCTTTCCCTAGTTCTTACTCAAAGAAACAAAAGAGCTTTTTGGACGGTACTACCAAATCGATCAACAGCAATTTGGACCTTGGTAAAAAGGCTTTCTATTTTTTTATTTTTATTGTTTTGACTTTTTATCAAGTTTTTTTAAAAAAAAAACATTAAAAAAAAAAAACACAAAAAAGTTAATTTTTTACTTAAAAAAGCTATAAAAAATTGCGAAATCAAAAGAATCAATTTTTTACTAACTTTACAAAACATCCATAATTCTTTGTTTTTAACCCCAGTTCATCAGACCACGCCCCCTGAGTTATGCATGCCACGCTCAATTCTACATCCCAACTAAAAATTTTAAAATAGTAAATATAAATAAAGTTTAAAGATAGTTTGGAATTAAAATATTTTGAAAATTTTTTATATACAAAAAAAAATACATGTAAAAAAAACGTGATTGAGTTTGTTTGGAAAGTTAGGCAAAGTTTGGCTACAAAGAAAAAAGTGTACTTATTTCATCTTTTTATCTTTTTTGAGTCACATCAATCAACATCTCCTCTCTACTTTTTCTACACATAATACAAAAAAAGTCAAAAAAGTGTACTTATTTAGTCTTCCCAAACTAGGCCTTAGTTATTTTAGTTAATTTTTTTAGCTATTTTAACTTGGCTAAAAATGTGATTTTGAGAAGATAATTATTTTTTTTTAGTTGATTTGGTAGTTGTGAGAGAAAAAAATAAAATAATTTTAATTTAGATATGACATTGTATTTATTGATTATTTTAGCCTAAAATTTTCTTCCCGAACCGGGCCGTTGACTTTATAACTTTTTTATTAAAGACTTATTTTGTAAAGTAGGTTAAAATTTGACCTTTTTTTAATATTTTAAAAAAAATGCAAAATAATAATAATAATGTGACTCAAAAAAAAAAAAAACTAACTTTTAACCGTATTGTCAAAATAAACCAAAACCTCTCATTTCCAAATACAGCCTAAAAGCTTCTTTCGGATCTATATTTTGGTTTAATTTAACAAAGTGATATAAATAAATAAATAGTTTTATTTTCAAATTCCCTCATTGTCAACATTTGTAAACACACTTATATGTTCATGAAAGAATAAGAACAAGAGACTTTGTTGCAACTTAAGACTCAATAAGGCAATATGTTGAGCGAGCATTTGGAATGCTCTAATTGTGCTTTCTCTCATTTATGGACTTTCTTGTTTTTTAAATTTGTTAACGCTAATAAATATCATGTTCACAACATGATAATTGAAGATAAACTTTATTTTGCATGTTCAATCTCAATTGTAACCTAATTGATGAAAATATTACGACATCACACTAACGTATGTTACAATTCTCACAACTCAGTAAAAATTGTCTTTGGAATCATAATATAGGGATACATTCTTAACTCCCAAAGGATCGTGTTGAGCACTTGTGGCAATTTAAAGGGCTCGGATGGATGTCTAATTAGTATAATACCTTTTGTTGTTATTTGTCTTTGAAAGTATTACAATTGGTATTATTAATTGTAAGTTGTTTTATTTTATCCTAAAATATGCCAAAGTATTGGAACTTCATTCAATATTAAAATGCAATTCACTAATTATAATATAATAACATTGATAGCACATAATTGATAGAAACAATTTTAAACACCACATAAAACCTCTTAAAATAATTTGCATCACAAGATGACTATCACATTCTTGTGTATCTTGAAGCATTCCACTTGTATTTATCGGCATTTTTTTCAAATCGTATATTATTTATTATTGTCTTGGCCTTTATTTTTATAAGTTTATTTGTATTTTCAATTGTTTACTAGCAGATTGTGTTATGTTTTTATTATTATCTTTTCCCCTCCTTTTTAACATTTATACTAAGAAATCCAATATATGATTTATTTATTTTAAAAAAAAATGCTTCAAACCACCAATTTGAAAAGCACCACTCCACCCCCAATAATGTGGAAATGGATCACGTCACGTGATAGACCACATCCCAGTAAGCCACTCTCTCCCTCTTTTCAAAGTTTTGTTTTGTGATCTATTGCCTTCTCTCTCTCTCACACACACACTCTCCTTTTATCTTTCACCAACCCGACTCTCTCCCTCGCTTATCCCTTTCCAACGGTGACTAACTCTGACGATTCGAATGAGGCTAGCGATTGAGCTACTCTTACGAAAAAATGACCCGATCTACTCAAACGAGACCTACAGCTTGACATTCACTTTACAGCATATACCTTTGAAAAAAAAAAAGAAAAAGAAAACTACATTGCTAAATATATGTATATGATAAATATATAAGTTTAAAGTTCCTTACCTTAATTAATACAGAGACGAGACAAAAATATTAAGAGTTAATTACCTAAAAGTCCTATTTATAAATGTTATGATGGCTCAAGTCATATTTAATATTTTTTGAACCAATAAGCCTTATTTAGTAATACTGATAATATTATTAGTTTTTATCAATTTTTAAAACTGAGAACATTACCAATTTTGCATTATAATGTTCTAAATAATTGTTTCACTAACTGATGAAAAAAACAGAGTATGTGATTAAACGTTTTTTCCATTCTACTTATTGGTTTGATTCAACTATCAAAAAAATCAAGAACATTAACTGTTTTTTTTTTTTCAGTTTTAAAACTGAGAGCATTATAAGTTTTTTCATTAATAAAGTTTTTTTTCTTAGTTTTGCACACTAATGTTCCATCATCATGCTCCTTTATAGACACAAAATTTTAAAATTTGCATAAAAAAATAATTCAATATTTTACAAATTGTTTTTAAAAAAAGATATATATTTTTTGCACATTATTTTTTATTTTTTAGTTTTTTCAATTTGAAAGTTGATGTTTTAAAGTTTTGAAAATCAAAATAATTGTCAAATCATCATATTCCTTTATACATAATCATAAACGATGAACAATCATTATTTGAAGGATAATTTTGACTATTAAATATTTAATGGAACTTAAAGGTTCAAAATATCGAGTATAAGTTCATAAATTATGACTTGTTGGTAAATGTCTCAAATATTAATTAATAAAATTATATTTTTTAGATGAATGTAAACAAACTAAATAGAGTAAAATATATTAATATTTAATAATGGACAAAATGCACGAGACAAAAACAGTAATAATTATTAGAGATGTAAAAATGGGACTAAATGGAGCATAAGAAAACTTTTAGGACTAAATGGTTCAACGTTTCAAAAACTATGACTTATGGGTAAATTTTCCATAAAAAAAAAGATATATATTTTTTGCACATTATTTTTTTATTTTTTAGTTTTTTCAATTTAAAAGTTGATGTTTTAAAGTTTTGAAAATCAAAATAATTGTCAAATCATCATATTCCTTTATACATAATCATAAATGATGAACAATCATTATTTGAAGGATAATTTTGACTATTAAATATTTAATGGAACTTAAAGGTCCAAAATATCTCAATTATTTAATGGAGTATAAATTCATAAATTATGACTTGTAGGTAAATGTCTCAAATATTAATTAATAAAATTATATTTTTTAGATGAATGTAAACAAACTAAATAGAGTAAAATATATTAATATTTTATTTGTGCTATATTATACTTGGCTTGGACACTTCTAATAATGGACAAAATGCACGAGACAAAAACAGTAATAATTATTAGAGAATATTGTTTACTAACTTATTTTTATATATGACTAATTTATAAGAGTATTGGTTAATATGCGTGTACAAAATGAATGACATAGAGATTGCACTATTTAATTGATTTATAAAAGCACGAATTTTGTAAAAATAAATATAAATTGGCTTAGATGGTTGAATTTAGGAAAATAAGTATTAATTTCTGAAACTAGTAAGGTATAAATAAATAAAAAATAATATATAGTAGTAAAGGGATGTACAGTTTGGAGGAGGGTGGGGAATACGTTACTTTTGTGTTTTTTTTTTTATATTATTCTTTTCTTTATTAAAAATATAAGTCAATTACAATAATAGGTCTTCTTTAACACAAAATTTATATTGAATGTGAAAGTATAGGCAAACTCTTATTAAAGAATGTGATTAATTATGTAGGAAGAATTTTGGTATGAACACATTGACCGGTTGTTTTAAAAGTATGAAAGGATAGAGTATGCATCATAATATTCCGCAGAGGAGAAATAAAATTTAAGGATAGAGAAGTTGTACGATCTCTAGTCCATAATTAGACTGGACGGTTCAGTCTGAATCAATAGACTTATTTTTTAGATTGCATTTTAATAATTCGAACTATTAATATTTTAAAATTCGTCGAGTATATTACTCCGGCAAAAAATCAAATCGATTGGATAATTGAAAAAGTGTAAAAAATAAATTTTGTATGAACAATTTACTTTATCATTGCCTATTTTTTTTTTTATACAAAATTGATCAAATTACATGATTTTTATTATCCGATTGATTTGATTTTTTACTAAGAGTAATGCTTTCGACGAATCTTAAAATATAAACTATTTAAATTATACAAATGGGGCAAAAAAAAATAGACTCATAAAGCCTAACAATATCTCCCCAACCAGATGGAGGAGGAGAGAAGCCATAGGCAAGGATAAATACTAATTTTTATATAAAGACTGGGAGCAACACTCGCCTAAAGGCCCTCCATACTATAATATAGCCTAATCTAAACCAACCAACAAACTATACCTTCGTTTGAAAATAATTTTTTTAGTTTGATTTTTTAATTTTTAAACTATTTTATCATAGTTAAAAATATTATAAAAGAAAAAGTAAAATAATTATAATTTGATATGATATTTTATTCTATTAATTTTTTATTTATTTTATATTTTAATAAGCTAAATTAATTCCAACCTACTTCCCAAACAAGGGCCATGTACCATGAAAATAAATCATTTGATGTGAATTACAGTCAATATAGGCAACAACAAAAAAAGTAAAAACAAGTATTTATAATATTTTACTAATTGTATATACAAAAGTAAATCACAAAACCTATTACATAAATCATAATAGAGCAATATGAGTGTAAGTGTATTTTTTTTCATTTTTGTAATAAATAAATTTTTAATACGTCTTATTTTTAATATTTATTATCTATTAAATTATATTGATAATCAATCTCTCTTATTTTTGTAATAGATTTATAGTGATAAATTTATCAGTTAAAAATAATAAATACAGGATTAATTGATAAATATCCCTAATATATAAAATTAGAAGCATTTTATAATATATATGATTATAATTGTATATTTATTTTTATCTTGTTATATGATTGTAATTGTATATTTATTTTTATCTTGTTAATAATGTTTTACTTTTAGTATGAAGAAAAAAAAAGAAAAAAAAAGTTAGGTACGACGCCACAAACGACAAATAAAAGCCGCCTATCTCATTCATATGGGGCACTTTGAAAAGAGGGTGAAAATTCAGTTTTTTGATTTTTTAATTTTTTTACATAAAAAGACATAAAAATTTAATTTTTTTAATAAAAAAAGTAAAAAGTTTAAAAAATTAATTTGTTTTACCAATTTTCTAAGATATTACTATGTAGGTGTTTGAGAAGAATTAAAAAAAGTGTATTTTATATATATATATATATATATTTATTTGAATCATATCAATTAAGGTTAAAAAGACAAAAAATACACTTATTTAGGTCATCCCAAACAACCCTTAATATTATCAATACTCTCTCTACTTCTTTAATTAATTTTTTAAATGTTTTACACAATTTTTTTTATAAAAAAATAAAAAATATATTTATTTAGAACTCCTAAGAGCATCTCCAACGGTGACTCAAATTTTTCATCAAATTTGAGTAAAAAATGACTCATTTCACTAAATTGATATCACTCGCTCCAACGGTTCACCTTTCACCAAATCTATCCCGGGACAACCGGGTGGTCGACCAGCCGGTTGACCGGTTAGGCAAAATATATATATATATTTTTTTTGCGAATTGTCTGAACTTTTTTTTGAACTTTTTGAACTTTTTCGGGACGACCAGGGTGGTTGGCCGGCCGGTTGACCGGTTAGACAATTTTTTTTTTTTTTTTTTTAACGGTTTAAACTTTTTTTCCTGAACTGTTTGAATCTTTTACTGGTTGACCGGTTGGTCAACCGGCCGGGCAACCGGCTGGTTGACCGGTGTACCTCTTTCAACGGTTAGTAACAGTGATTTGATAAAATCTGTGTCTCGTTCTCAATTTGATACTTTTTTTGCTGAAATCTCATTTTGATATCAATCTGGTGCAACAGTTGGAGCTTGAAAAAATAAATTTTTTATCAAAATTTAAATTTAATTCTGAGTTTGATTCACCGTTAGAGATTGTTTAAGACCGATTTGTATTTCGACACGGCCACGTAAATAGAAATGAAAAGCAAATTTATCTAAATTCGGTTTTCGCCGACAAGAAAATGGAGATCTCTCAAGGTACAGTACATAAATAGACGCAAAAACCATACCAAAGTGAGTAAAGTTGTTTCAGTCTCTACTCCAGAAAGAGATCTGCGTCGTCTCGCGTATGACTCTCTAAAACCCACGTCGCAATTTACATTTTTTACATGTTTTTAATTTCATTGACTTATTTTTATTTTTTGGTTCGGTTGATGATGTGTTATTTTCAGCTTCTGAAAATCGACAATGATTTTGATGTAACTCTTTAAAGTCTAGAACTTTCTGTTTTGTTTTTGTTAATTTTGTGCTCTTTAACAACGAATTTAACTTTTATTTTTCTAATTTTTTTTGGGTTTTCAGATTTGGGATTTATCTGTGAAAGCTGAAGGATTTTTTTTCCCCCTTTCTTTCTTCTGGGTAATAGTTTTTTCTTTTTCTTTTTTAATTAGGTTTCTGGGTTTTCAGATTTGGGATTTGATTGTGAGTGCTGAAGTTTTAAATTCTTTTTTTTTTTCTCTCTGGGTGAGGGTTTTTATTTTTCTTTTGATATGGGGTTTATGAATTTAATTTTTATGAAGATTGTAATAGATACTTAGAAAATTTGGTTCTTCAGGGTGACTTTGAGTGGATTGCTTGTTTATCCTTTTTAACTGAATACAATTCATGATTTTGAGGGAGCTAGTTTGACAAAAGCTTAATGATCAAATTCTATATGCCTCTGATGCAGACATAGAGACCATGGCGCACCAATTTGATGATCACATGGAAGAAGAAGAAGATGAAGAAGAAGAATTAGAGGGGCATTTGTCAGAGTTTGTGGATCGGGAATACTACGGCGGAGGTGATGGTGAAGAAATGGGCTTTGATGATTATGATATGGTTTGTTTTCTTTATTACTTATTAAATTGACTCAAAATTATTGTTGTAGCTTAGGGATTGCTTACTATTATTTTGGAACATCCAATAATAGTTACTTGTTTTCCCTATTTACTTAAAATAACATGTTTTTTTTTTGGTTTTGAATTTGAGAAGCTTACAAAGGTGACTGACACATCATCTGCCCAAGCGAGGAAAGGAAAAGATATTCAGGGTATTCCTTGGGATAGATTGAATATAACGAGGGAAAGCTATAGATTGACGAGGCTAGAACAGTATAGGAATTATGAGAACATCCCTTTATCAGGCGAAGTAGTAGATAAGGTTGCTTATGTTACCTTTTTTGCTTTGTTCAGAATTAATGAATTGGAAATTATCATTTTTGGATGATGATTATGCTGATTCTGTTTGTCTGTTTATTTAATTTGATTCTTTAGGAATGCAAACAAATGGAAAAGGGTGGGAATTACTATGAGTTCTTTTACAATACAAGATTGGTGAAGCCAACAATCCTCCATTTTCAGGTTTGTGATATTTGCGAATGGTATATTTTGCTTCTATGATGTATCAACCTTTTGTTTTTTCTTAGGGGATTTTAAGAACACAAGATTTCTCTATGATGGTTTGTTTTGTTTTCCTTATGTACTTGTGTGTGTATCCATATACATCATTGTTTTTGTTTTGTTTTGTTTTTTCATGAGGTCAATCTGTCATGTAAACTCTCTTCTCCGATGCTCAAACTAATGTGCACATATATGGACAGTCCCACATGCATTGATGTGTTGACAAATGCTCGGATGCATTTACAGTTGTACAATTCTCTCACATTCTATTGGTACTTATAGGCCTTGTTTGGCAAGTGGATTTTTAGCTTTTTTGGGGCTAAAATTCATAAAAAGACAAAATAGGCTAAAATAGACAATAAGATAAAGTGTCACATCAAATCCATAATCATTTCACTTTTTCTCTCATAAACATCACATCCAACTATAAAAAAATCCAATCATCTTTCCAAACATAAAAATTTTAGCTTGCTGAAATATTCAAAAACTAAAATAGCCAACTTCCCAAACAAGGCCATAGCATTTTCCTTTATTGATGCTTTTGATATTGCTATAACATGGTTCAAGGCCCAGAGCTTCATCAGTTTTATGACCAATTTGCAACAGTTGGATCCCTACATGTTAGTTTCTGCTCTAGCTGATTTGGCATTATCTGCAAGTATTATTCCCTAAATGACAGCTCCCTTGGCATCTTGTATGCAGCTGAGGAACTTGGTATGGGCTACTTCAAAACATGACGTGTATCTCATGTCTAATTATTCAGTTATGCACTGGTCATCAGTATCTAGCAATCTGTCAGAGGTCATCAATTTTTCTGGACATGTAGCACCTACTGAGGTATTTGAAAATTAGATTGTGAAGCAACCCACGTCGCAATTTACATTTTTTACATGTTTTTAATTTCATTGATTTTTAGCATCATTGTTGTCATCATCATTTTTTAAAAAACTAATGAATGTCCTGTGTAGCTAATTTTTCTTTTGCTTGGTAATTTAGAGACATGCGGGAAGCTTGTTAGAAGGTTTTACACAAACTCAGATCAGCACGCTAGCAGTGAGGGATAATTTTCTGGTTGCAGGGGGGTTTCATGGAGAACTTTCTTGTAAGGTGTGTTGATATATGATCAGTTGTTTCTCTTTTTCTTCCCTTGTCTGTGTTAGTGAGTTGTAGATCATTATATATATATATATATATATTTTTTTTTATTGTGGGGTATAAAGGGGGTTGGGGGGAGGATGTTCTTGATCATGGTGCTGCCTAAGGCACATACAATATATGCAGTTTTGGACAATCAATTCCGCAAGTATGCAGTTGTTTTCTTAGCATACGTGGTGATATTTGTGTTACCCTGTTTTTGGTTCCCTTATTTGCTGCCTACTTGCTCTTATGAACTGATGCAATCAAATTGTTTGCTGGTCTATCTACGGTTCTTTAGTCAAGCATGTTATGAAGCAATCAAATATTTTGTTGGGACCCTTTAAATTATGGTGCAATAGGCAGTCTGATCAAGTATGTTATGATGCATTGTTGGTTCATTCATATGTCAGTTACCTTTGACTGACTTTAATTTCTTCTCAGTATTTAGTATAGATGTTTCCATCTGGGCTCTTATCCAATATCATGATTAATCCTCTTGTTTAAAATGTAGAATGGCTGTATTTTGTTATGGAAAATGGTTGAAAATGATTTCGGTTAGTTTGATAATTTACGTACTCTTACTAATTATTGTTTGATGGCTTGTTCTTCAAACAACAAGTTTGTGTGCACACAAACACACCCATGCCTGAAACAAAAATGAAAAAGGCTAATTATTTGTTTAACAAAGAATATAAAAGAATGCATTGTGACCATATAAAGATGTCAAACTACCGCTTTGATGAGGTGACTCGGGAAGATACATACTGCATGCATCAGTTAGTACTTAATGATACAGGTTTTTGAACTTGATTGACTTCGTTTTATTTATTTATTCGTTTTATTTTTTATTTTTCCCTGAGCTTGGTTGACGTGTTCCTTTCTAGTAGTGTGTTAAATTTCTTATGATGTGGAGGCAGCTTCACAGGCTTGATGATGTGAGGCATTATGTTCTCTTCAAAACACTTACTGTGTAATTATAAAGCACAGCATGATAGTATGAGGCATTATATGATCTTCAAAATACTTATCATGTCATTATAAAGCAAGCACCGTCTATTCCGTTCTGTCCAACAGTATGTTTTCTTGTAGTATGACTAGTGTCTATCAGAGTGTGAGTGACATTATATTTAGTGTATGTTGATGCGAAGAATGTAATCATAAGGAGGCATGTGGTTGTGACCTTAGGATGTCTGTGTTAGCCTTGAAGCTTTAGAGTTAAGTTCTAATGATATTCTGCTATCAGAACTGGAAGGTACAATCGTCCATACTTTTCTTTTGCTTAACTTGTTTAAATGAGCCACGTCATTCGTTTAAGTCAGTACTCTATTGTTCTAACGTTAAATATGTCTTTTAAAGATGTCATTGACCTGAGATTTGGGAACATTAATTAACCTGAAATCTCATGTTGTGAGGTTTTTGGACGTTCTGATTTTGCCTTTCCGCCAGCAAGTGAATCTCCATGAATGGCCCAAAAATCTGGTGTTGAGGAAATTTGCCATAGGAGGTTTTTCTTTGAGGAATTGCCATTCTCTGATTAAAATGATACAGGGCACTTCTGTTTTCATTTTTGCCTTCCTTCTAGCCTGTGATGAGTGCAGTAAAACTCAAACCCCTGGATTTTAGACAATCTATCTGAATATGGTTTTCTCGAGTTTGGCGTCCTGGTTATGAAGTTCGGAAACAATTTTGCTGGCAATGAATCTTTTATGCTACTTTGGTATAGGCAGTGGCAGAGCCACATTTTGAGCCAAGGTGGTGCATTTTTCTCTCCATTCCTCAAACAAGATTCATCCCCCCTTTGATTGTAAAGTCCTTTTGATAGTTAAAGCTCCCACTTGAGAGAAATTTTGGGTTCGGATTGACCTTTGGCAATGGACTGCTTTGGAATCAACTTTTTCTAGATACACTTTTTGCTTTTTGTAATGATGTGTAGGCCATCTTTGGTGTATTTGGCAGCTTTGTTACATCGACTCTCAACACTTGGTTAAAGGGTAAGGGTACGGGATATACATCCGACATGTGTAGTTGGACTTTCGCTTATCAAGCACATTTTGTAATTCAAGTTCACTATAAAACTCTGTGCAAAATGCTTATGCGACCTTGTAAATGCCATTTTACCCTAAAGGGTAAGGGTACGGGATATACATCTGACATGTGTAGTTGAACTTTCGCTTATCAAGCATATTTTGTAATTCAAGTTCACTATAAAACCCTGTATGAAATGCTTATGGGACCTTGTGAATACCATTTTACCCTAGAAAATAAAAGAAGTATATTGAAAAATATGAATACTTTTTCTTATCCTCGTGCCCTGGACATGAGAATTAAATGAATCCGGACAGACGTATAGTTGCATCCAACACCTCTACCCGTTTGTGATGGTGGAATGATCTTAGCAGAGCGAGGATGCCAAGGATGATCAAAATATCCAGTTAGAAAAATTTGTATTGGAGGAGAAGATGGAAGTACCTAATTATAGGATGGTCCGGCCATAAAAGCCAGCTGGTGGCATGTGACTTGGGCAACTCGCTCTGGCTGCTATGTGAGGACGGTCACAGCTTGTTTTGGGTCTGGTACAACATTAATAGAGTGACTTCAACTTTGGCGGAGATAAAAGTGAAGCAATAATTTAACTTTCGGTTGTGACATCTGGGAATCTGGCTTCTTCTGATCTCTCTCTCTCTACTTGCGTGCACACACACGCTAATGGACACAAAACGTGGCATGGCAGGGGTTGTGAACTTGGTCATTCTGGGCAGGCTTTTCACCTGCCTTGTTCTGCCAGTATCTAATGTTGTTTGAGACTTGAATTTCTTTTTAGAAGTGATCACTCTTAATCAAAAATCTGCTTTAGTGTCTAAACCAGCAACTTGAAAGTTGGTGCTTTTCTCTCTTAATGTTAATGGTAGATGCATTATTTCTGGAAGGCATTAAATACTCATATACACATAACAAAAAGGTTTATTTAGGTCTTACCGTCACAAGAGTCTGACAAAGGATATTTTGTGAAGCTCATATGAAGGTTTGCATTGTATTGAGGAGAATAGGACCATTTTTATGATACCAATATCAATCTGCTGCCAACTCGGTTATGTTTATTTCTCATGTGTTCTGATTGAATGCTAATTTATGCGATATTATTCACTGATCTGGAAGGGCTTTGAAAGGAGTTATGATTGTGTTTTATTCACTTATGTTTTTGAGATAAGAATAATGTCTTGACAGCATCGTTTATTTCTTCAAATATGGGATGATTGCAGCTATTTGTAAAATGTGGCTAGTTTTCATTTTTTAGGGCACCCCTTTGCATGCAGTTCTTTGTCTTAAGCAATGACTTTTCTTCGGTTTTATTTTTTGGTTTGTTATGTCTTGTTTTTATGAAGGTTTTCTTAGTAATGGGTTTAATATATGTTGGTTGAATGATGCAGTGTTTAGATAAACCTGGAGTAACCTTCTGTACAAGGACCACTTACGAGGATAATGCCATAACAAATGCAATTGAAATATATGACAGTTTGAGGTAATATAAATTTTGCAATTTTCTGTTGAACAATGTTAGTGTCTTATTATGGGTCCACTAACTGATTTTCAAACTGTTTTGCAGTGGCGGAGTCCATTTTATAGCATCCAATAATGATTGTGGTGTAAGGGAATATGACATGGAGAGGTTTCAGCTTTTGAGTCACTACCACTTCCCTTGGCCAGTGAATGTTAGTTTTCTCAAGCCTTAAAAAATGATATATATTAATTTTCTTGTTTCAGGCATATCTTTTTCACAAATACCTGAACTTAATTTCTTAGCATTGTGATAATAGGGTTTCCTTTCTCAATAGAGATTTTTCAGATGCAATGATTATGCAATAAACTATTTTATGGCTGATTGATTGATTTGATAGTTCAAAGCTGTACTTTGACTAAGTTGTTTTTTATTGAAGTAATGAGCGTCCAAATATTGCAATGCTCGTTACTACTTGTTCTGACTTTTTAGAAGTTGATGCAGCATACGTCTGTCAGCCCAGACCGCAAGCTTACTGCTATTGTGGGAGATCATCCTGATGGATTGCTTGTGGATTCGCAGAATGGAAAGGTAAGCAAGTTGCTTAGATGGTGTTCTTATTTAAAGGATAAACATGTATTTGTTGCTGAGCAATTGGAGATTCTTCTCAGTATTTGGATTTCTCTGCACTTTTGGAATCATTTCTGACAGAAAATCAACATTGCAAGTTTCAAGTTTTTTAACTTGTTTCCTTCATTTGATAGGATTTTGTTAATTTCTCCTCGTAATCCTAGGCCAACCCAAACATAAGGTAGGACATACAATTCCAAGGGATTGATAATATCAGAACTAACAGTCTTAGGAATGCTAATCCTATATAAACTAGTCTCTCCAAACAAACATAACCTCAATGTAGAGATATACCTTCCATTCCATGGGCAATTGGAGCATGGTTTTTAGTAAAAAAAAGCAAATAATTTGAAACTCTTACTTCATGATTCCAGACTGTTGCCTCGGTAGTGGGTCACCTAGACTACTCGTTTGCATCCGCATGGCATCCAGATGGACACACATTTGCCACGGGGAATCAGGACAAAACCTGCCGCGTGTGGGATTTGAGAAACTTGTCAAAGCCGATTGCAATCCTCAAGGGCAACATGGGTGCTGTCCGTTCAGTCCGATTTTCATCGGATGGACAGTTTCTGGTGGTGGCCGAACCAGCAGATTTTGTTCATGTTTATAGTACCAAGGCAGATTACAAGAGGCGGCAAGAGATCGACTTCTTTGGGGAGATCTCTGGAGTTGCTCTGAGTCCAGATGATGAGTCTCTCTATGTTGGCATATGGGATCGGACTTATGCAAGCTTGCTACAGTATAACAAGAAACACATGTATGGATATCTTGATTCGATTATGTGATTCTGCAAATGTTGTTCCTCTCTCTCTCTCTCTTGGGATATTTTTGATACAGTTGGTGTGCTCAGCCTTGATGAGGGTAAAGTGATTTTTGTTTGAAGCTTTTGAGCCCGGATGTGTACAGTTACACGTCATATTTGCTTGGAAAGTAAAGCCTTTATCCCTTGATGAGTAGTGTGGAGGATTTGAATCCATGGAGTAAAATGCACCTGGCTTGTTGCTGGTTTTGGTTAGCGTTTTAGATATCCGCCGTTGCATATTGTATCTGCTATTATGTATCGAAATTTTGAACTTTCTAATATTATTATTCATCACTATTATCAACAGGTGTCGTTTGATGTTACCCAATATATAATTGTATTTCTAAAAACTATCCTGATATTGTTAGTTAGATCCATGATTTTCGTCATTGCGTTTTTGTTATTGGTATTGTCATGCCGTCATTATTATAATTATATTTATATTTACTTTTAAATTTTTTAAAATTGAATTATTAAATACAATTTTGGTATATTTTAGATTTGTGATTATAGTAAATATATTTATATTTATTTTTAAATTGAATTATTAAATAATTTTTGGTATTGCACGAAAAATCTGACAACCTAATTCCCACTTCATTGAAGTATATGGTTGTTAAAAAGAGTAGAGTAGGCAAAAAAAAATTTAAAAAAAAATTCATACAATCAACTTAAATTGATTTAGACTGAGAATTCAGTCAATTTCAATTGATCGGGACAGAAGGTTAGAATTGATTTTATGGCTTGATGAGAATTCATTCAATTTCAATTGATTGAGACAGAAGGTTAGACTTGATTTTATATTTGATTATATGTCCATCAATGTCCAGGAAAATTGTAGGCTTGTTGCTTGAATTTGCATATTCGTTGGGTGGACCCTCAACACTTTTTCAGAAGATTCCAAGTTAGTTTGGTTAACTCTCTCTCAAAACTATTCTATGTCATCAGTGACAATATGTCACAAATCAATATCAATATGCAAAGTCTCATCAAATTCATGCAAACGAGAAGATAAGATTGCTTTGTCCATTGCTATGTCATTGTCGTTTAACAAAAATAAATAATTATTCATCCCTCTCACTAGCTCAGCCAATGAGATTCATTAATTGGAGTAGGTATTCAATTACTAATCCACTGACCTTGATTAACTAACTTAAGTATTTGGAAACCATTTAATTAGTTCAGAAGTGATGTGTACATTACATCTATGATGACAAGGCTTGAGAGGGTACTTCAACTCTTGTATTTGCAATATAAACGTGGGGTTGTGACTGATTAAGATGCAATGCCTTTGTGAAGATTCATGACTATGATCCAAACATTAATTTTAAGGACATAGAATCCCAATCCGAAACAAACAAAAATTTGATAAACAAAGGCCAGGTTTGACATATCAGAAAAAAATATAAAAAGGTACTAAAAAAATTATCACTATTTACAAATTAAAATAAAAAATAATAATTTTCCAAATATTTTAATACAAACGACGACTGAACAGCGTTTGTACTGTCAGTACGTATTGGTCTATCCAAATGAACCAAAAAAAAAAATTAGATTATACATTTATTATGTTTGGAGAGTAATGTTTGGCCCGTGGAGACTCAACACGGATCCATTTTTGATAATTCAAACAATTTAGTGTGTAAAGCTCATCGAATACTATATGCTTATAAAAAATCACGTTAATCAGATATAAATAGTTATGTGATCGAATTAGATTTTTTTTTCAGCTGCTTATTTTTCACCATCCATTAATTTCATACAAAACTGTTTTTGATCACATAACTATCGATATCTGATTAAAGTAATTTTTTATAAACATATAGTACTTAACGAGTTCTACACATTTAACGGTTCGGATTATCGAAACGAGACCTTTGATGGGCCCCATGGCCCAACAGTACCGGTGAAGCCTCATGCACCATTTCAACCCAGCCATACTTTCCTCTGCTGCCTGTTACAGATGATTCTACCATGTAGGGGTAAAAATATAATTTTGCCATTTTATATAATATTTTAACATATTTTTTCGTAAAAAGACAAAATTATCTCAAACCACCATACTTTTTTTCTCAACTTTTTAGTCCAAAAAATCAAAAAATACACTTATTTAACGCACCCCAAACAACCCCTTTGGAGGAAAGGAAGAGAAATATGCATAATTGACAGTGAAAAATGTTCCAAAAAAGCTGAGTTCGAGATTTCATATCCCTATTTCTTCTATGGCCATTGTATCAATCACCTCAACCCTGACCTATGTAAACGGGAAAAATGACAAACAGAAAGGGAAGAAGAAGAGAAGGTACTAAAAGCTACAGATCAAAACCCATCATTTTTCAGCTCATAAAAAGTCAACAATATATTTTATTTTTTTTTTGAACAAAGGGTTCATTCTTCCGACACGCACCAACCAGGCAAGAGTCTTCCTGGTCTTGACATTCCTTATATAATATTTTAACATATTTTTTCATAAAAAGACAAAATTATCTCAAACCACCATACTTTTTTCCTCAACTTTTTAGTCCAAAAAGTCAAAAAATACACTTATTTAACGCACCCCAAACAACCCCTTTGGAGGAAAGGAAGAGAAATACGCATAATTGACAGTGAAAAATGTTCCAAAAAAGCTGAGTTCGAGATTTCATATCCCTAATTCTTCTATGGCCATTGTATCAATCACCTCAACCCTGACCTATGTAAACGGGAAAAAATGACAAACAGAAAGGGAAGAAGAAGAGAAGGTACTAAAAGCTACAGATCAAAACCCATCATTTTTCAGCTCATAAAAAGTCAACAATATATTTTATTTTTTTTTTGAACAAAGGGTTCATTCTTCCGACACGCACCAACCAGGCAAGAGTCTTCCTGGTCTTGACATTCCAAAACAACGCCGTGCGTGGTGGCATTGGATAGCTAGGGATTACATCAATTCTCATGCAAGGCCTTCATCAAATATAGTTTGCTGAAACTCTGTCCTGCAACCCTGCAATGACAGTCCACAAAGATAACTAATTTCAGACCCCAAAAACAAATACAAAATAAAATAAATAAATGTAACCTGATTCTTGATGACTGAAATAACCAAACAAAAATTCTTAAATCTTGGTCCATTGACCACAGACTTGCAACCTTTTTGTCTCTTTAAATTTGCTCAAAATTAAAAAGCAAGTGTAAGAACCCTTGATGTCAACTGCTAAAAAATTTTAAGGCATAATTTCTTTATTATAATATAAGAAATATCCCCTTGATTGTTTGTCCAGATATCATTGTCAGTTGTCCGCAGAAAGTACACAACATATGCAAGGACATGATAATTGAATAGCTTCAAATAATGCAACGTACCCGTTAATTTGATTACAGTAGTTTGAGATTTGATTGGTGATGAGGAAGCTATCCAACCGTGATGGCTCAGGAATTGGCTTAAAGATGGGGTTTGAAGGATCCTCCTCTGGTAACAGCTCTTCTCCAGCAGCTTTACGTGCCATGTTCTCTGTCCTATAGAACACACGAAGGAAGACAAAATAGATATATAAAAAGATTTTTTATTTTTAAAAAATGCAACAAAAGAAAAAACTAGAAATTATACACAAATGCAAGGCCCTGAACAAACACATCCAAATCTCATATATTCCCCAAATACATTAATTTGTTTTAAATTACCCATTTAGAACCTATTTTACCCTGAAACTATAACATTTTGGTCACAATAAGCTGTTTTGCTTGTTTCTTAATCTTCTTCCACGGCTACAGGAACCTCATTGGGGGTGTGACATTGAAGGGCTGTTTGGGATGTTGCCTTTTTGGCTAGCCAAAAAGCGAAAACACCCAATCACATCTCTCTACTTTTTACACGTGTTTTCGTAAAAAGCTAACTAAAATAGTTGCATCCCAAACGAGTTCTAAGTGGGCCCACAGGGAAAAGCACATTTAAATTTTCCGCACACATGCCAAAACTAAATCCATAACCCAAATTAAGAACACATCCCATACAAAATTTGCAACAACGGAAAACAAGTTTGGCCAGCTCATCGCAATTCACACCATCATGTGATAACAATTGGCATGACATTGAAAATTAATTTATTTCTAAAATATTCCATTTGGCCTTAGCAATATATTGTACAAATCCTTGCTTAGTTTAAACAACAGTGATATGGTGGTAAAGTATCAAAGCAAGTAACCAGCATGATTAATTAAATTACAATTTTTGAAAAGACTAATAGAAATTGGAAAAGCGGGGAGTAATGATAATGATCACTTAACCATGAAAAAAATTAAATATATGCAGCAAAGCATGGTAAAATAGCTCATATACGTTCCAAAAAATAACTTTAGTTACCTTCTCTTCTGAAGCCATGCTTGCTGCTGCGATTGTTGACGTGACAGGTTCCGATAGTAGAATTGGAACTGAAAATTAAATGCCAGTCTTGTCATGCTAACAGCCAGCATAACAATAGAGCACAAAAGAAAAGAAAAGAAAACCTAACCTTTTGCTGTTCCATTGACAAGTCATCCATGCATTCAATTAAAAATTCGACATTCCTCTCCATAAATGGATTGGTTGATAATTGTAACCGATCAAAATCGCACTAGCAAAGCAAAGAAAGATGGACTTACTAATTACTACAAAGTTAGACATCAATGATAAGTTTCCACAAACAGATAAAGAGACTACCTGGGTGACAGGTGAATCAGCCTCCAGCTCTGTCATAAAGGCACTGATGAGAGCAGAGTTCGAAACCTTGATCTGTTGAATATAAAAAGCAGCATAAAAATCTAAAAGGAAATGAAAACACATGCTTATTAAAACTCTTTTGGACTGGCAATGGCAATGTCCCACAATCACCTATCATGCTATCAAAAATATTAATAGAAGATGGAAAAGTTTTATAACTCATGGATGAAAGTGTCCAAGAGGGGAGGGGGTGAATTGGACAAACTACATTTTCACTAATTTATTCAATTTCTTCCCTTAATTCACCTCTATTATTTTATGTAGAGCCTTAATCAATTTCATTTTGCTCAAGCTAATCCCAATGTTCCAATTTTCTCACACAACTTAAGAGTTTGGCTGGGTAGTTTAATTGGTTGTCTAAATATAATTCTGTACTTCAGTTGTTCACCCTTTCAATGCTTAACCTCCAAAGACTCAATTTTATCTTATTAGTTATTATGACTTTCAATCTTGGATTATGTGGAAGTATATTCAAATATCAATTATGAACTTTAAAATCTGCCACTCTATGAAGCACAGACACGCGACACGACACGGACACGTAAATACGCAAATTTTTAAAAAATAGGGAACACGACACGCTAGGGATACGTTCAATATATATAATTAATTTTATTTATTATATGTCATAAAATAATTAAAAAATCATTAAAAGTTAATCAAAAATACAAAATAATATTATTAAAATTAATAAACCCACATTATTAAAATTAACAAACCTAATAAAAAAATTATATATTGAAATGAGTGGCACAGAGTAAAAAAAAATATTAAATGAAATCAGGGAAAAAAAAATAGAAGACAGAGAGAGGGAGAGAGACTACCCAGCATATAAAAAAAAAATAAAAGAAGAGAAAAAATAAAATGAGACAGAGAGGGTGAATGAGGCAGAGAGAGAGAGAGACATCGACTGAGAGATCGGAGGAAAAGAAGAAGAAAATCGAACCAGAAGAAGAACGGAGAACATCGAAGCGGAAGGACGAAGAAGATCAGCAATTAGATGAGCTACGAGCGACAAGCGATGGACAAGGAGCGATGACAGCGATGCATGAGGAGCGACGAGAAACGACAACCGACGATCGACCAAGTCTCTTTTCTCTTTTGTTCTCTTCGTCTTCTCTCTCTCTCTCTTTCTCTTTCGATTTAGGGCAGATATGGTTCCATTTTTGGTTTGTTACAAATCGACCCCAAATATGTTTTGTAAATTCTAAAATTCACCCCGAGCGTGTCCCACAAGTGTCGGAACGTGTCCGGAACGTGTCCGTCTTCAAAAAAAATAAAAAAAAACATAGGACACTTTCTGGTGCGTGTCGGACACGTGTCCACAGCGTGTCCGACGCGTGTCCGTGTCCGACACGTGTCCGACACTGGTACGGAGCCCTCCGAGAGGTGTCCGTGCTTCATTGTTGCCACTTATCAAAAAAGAAAAAGAAGAATCTCACTTTAAAACAAGAGCATGTTTGTGAATCATGCATTCAAGAATTATTGTCATTAACATAAATATCATAAATGATTCGCATTCATCTCAATTCCATATGAATATATATAGCAAATTAAAGATCAAATGTAAAGACATGAACAAGAAGATTTTTTTTTGTGTTCAACTACTTGTCTACATCCTCTCCTGGCCAACCTCACCAGAATTAATCCACTAATCACAAAATGGTTTTCACCAAGGTCACCCACACCTTTACAATCACTTCTAGGGTTTTCATTAGAAACCTCTAGATTTTAGTTCATTACATTTGATTTTTTCTCTCCTACATGAAACTTCTAAGAAAATATATACGAAAATTTTCAGAATATCACTTAATTCTCCATTTTCAAATGAAAGTGTGTACCATGTTTTGGAACATCTATTCCAAAATGTAAATTGCTAGGGTATTAGCATTTTGGAGTAACACCATTCCTACCTAAGGTTGCACATACAAAGTCGTGAACTGCCAACCTATGCTAGTCCAAGCACTGACAATAGACAAAATTCTAGTCCCATCATACAATCAGATGCCCTTTGGGAGGCCTCTACATAAGAGAACTCAAGAATCTTATTGAAATGGTTGTTGATTCCTTCAAATCATAACAACTAATTATTTAATCTGCAAATAATAAAATTTAAAATTATACATTACAAGTCTACAACTGATTCCAAAAAAGCTAATTTCCAGGGACCAACAGCAATACGGTTCATGAGCAAGAAGCTATGAAGCACGGATACTTCAAAAAGGGTGACGTATCCGTATCAGATACTTATCGGATACCGATACTCCTCGGATACCGATACTCCTCGGATACTCGCGGATACTTCTTAATTAATTTTTTATTAATTTTGAAGTATCGGATACTTAATTTTGAAATATCGGATACTCGAAGTTACATATTACTTATAATATTTTGTTTAGTTCTTTGATAAAAGGAATATAGTGAGAGTTAAAGTAATAGAATTTGTCAAATTAATGTATCCTTGTTGTCTCTCTCACTTCTTTCTCGCTTTCTCACTCTCACGTTTCTTCTCTCTGCTCTCATTCTTTTTTTGATGTTGGCATGTAAGGATGATATTTAATTTGCATTTGTTTTTGCTTTTAATTTTGGATGTTTTATGAATGTTTGAAATTATAAATTATAAATTTTTTTAAAATTGTAAATTTTTTTTTTACGAATATATCCCCGCTGTACCTGTATCATACTTTTTCAAGTTTTGACATATCGCCATATCCACATCCCCATATCACCATATCCGTATCCGTGCTTCCTAGGCTATCATTGATGACTTAGAAAAGTATATTTGCTGAAATTTTTATTTAAGAATGGTTTTTTAGCTTTAGCTAAGGTCTTGTGATATTCACTGATGAAGAACAAGTTGAAGCTATTGACCTTGAAGACTCTTAGTTTTATAGGAATCTTTCTTCTTTATCAAGTTGTCTTTTGCTTTAGGTTTTATTTTTATGCATACTGCATTACTAAAAATTGTTAAAATAATATTTTTTACGAACGTATCCCCGCCCGTACCCGTATCCTAATTTTTCAAATTTTGTCGTATCGCCGTATCTGTATCCCGTATCTGTATCCGTGCTTCCTAGGCAAGAAGCATTGGCAACTGAACCCTCAGGTGCTATTTACTAATAGAATGAACAATTATGAAATAAGGATATAAAAACAGAAAAGGCAGTCATGACAAGGAAGATATTACTACTCCAACCTGACGGAAACATACATGATTTTATAATACAAAAAACAAAAAAGCAAAGCATTAGAAGCATACAGGTATCTCCTCAAAGATATCCACCCAGGATAGGTTTTTCTCTCTCAACCTGTGTAGCAAAATACAAAAAGAATAAGATTCAATAAATAGTTCCTTTCCAATAATTACCAGTACAATAAAAGGGAACCATACTTCTCTCCCGTAAAATTGTTATTACGATAAAGTTCCATGAAAGAATCTGACAGCTTCAAGGCCTTGAGAGCTAAGACACCTTGGGAAGACTTTGAAGGATCATAGATAATACAGACACACCGTCTTATATTCTCCTGCAGCGACAGATCACACCACATGGGACAAACAATCAAACAAGGAAAACAAATAACATACATGAGAACATGTGCAAAATAGTTGAAACAAATATGTAGATTGAATATCCATTTTTTCCTTTTTCCTTCCTTTGGTTGGTGGATGGGAGGCGGCTAAGTAAATAGAGAGAATCTTGGCTTGCAAACAACATGCTTCCACTCATCAACCTACTTTAGTTACATGTCTATGAGTATGCATGACTAGCACATGCATATTTTTAACTATGGAGAAGACTAGGTATACAGCAAGCCAAACCAGCTTAAGTGATGCTTCGATTATGCTACAAAAGCGTGAAAACATGCACAGAACAATCACTAACAGACTATGAAGCATAGACACGGCAAAATCAGTTCCGTGGCGGTGTCAGACACGGGAACACGCCGGGGACACGGGGACACGCCGGGGACACGTACGGGACACGCCATCTGCCGTGTCCCTTTAATTTAATTGTTTTTCTTGTAGGGGACACGCGTGTCCAGATCTGGACACGGCGTGAGACACGGCAAAGAGGGAGAGATAAAGGAGAGAGTGTGAAGGAAGAGAGTGAAGAGCGACAAACCTGTGAAGATCGAAGCTCCATGAATCCAGTCGAAGATCGAAGATCGAAGCTCCAAGCTCCATCAGAAGGTCGAAGCTCCAAGCTCCATCAGAAGGTCAAAGCTCCATCGAAGCTCCAAGCCCCAGACGATCGCGATCTGTCTCTCTCTCTCGCCTTCACAATCTCTCTCTCTCTCTCTCTCTCGATCGCGATCGCAATCGCGATCGCGACCTTGACCTGTCTCCCTCTCTCTCTCTCCTTCTCTCCCTCCCTTGCTTCTGCCGTTCTGAGGGTTCACTTATTATATAATAGTTATTATTATTATTATTATTATTATATACTCATACATATTATTATATATTATTATATATATTATATAATAGTTAACTATTATTATTAACTATTATAGTTAACTATTCTGAGGGTTTAGTTAACTATTATTATTATATATTATATAATAGTTATTATATAAAATATAATATATTTATAAGATAATATATAATACATATTGTAAGATAATATATAATACATATTGTAAGATAATATATAATACATATTGTAAGATAATATATAATACATATTGTAAGATAATATATAATACATATTGTAAGATAATATATAATACATATTGTAAGATAATATATAATACATATTGTAAGATAATATATAATACATATTGTAAGATAATATATAATACATTATAAAAAAATTAAAAAATTTACCGTGTCCCCTGCCGTGTCCGTGTCCCTATTTTTTAGAAATTGCTGTGTCCCGTGTCCGTGTCCGTGTCCGTATGCGTGTCCGCGCTTCATAGCTAACAGATATATAACCAAAATCAACAAGTTTGCTTCACTTCTCCAAAACAACCTTTTTTCCTAGTCAGAAAAACTGAGAACATGGTTGTGGATTATTTATCAAAAAATACATCAATTTCCATTAAATTCAACTCTTGTTATCGGCATGTTTTACACTTCCAACCAAATAATCCAATCAGAAAAGACAATAATTTTAAAAGAATGCCCAAAAAAAAAGAAAAAAAAAAGAAAAAGAACAAGCATCTAAAAATATGATGTAACACATACAACTAGAATATTTGAACAATGAATACAAAAATATCACCTGGTAATTCATAAAGGTCTCAATCAGTTCCACAGTCTGAAAAGAACCTAACAGAGTTGATTGGTACCTGGAATTTCACAATCAACCAACATGAACTTCCTGACATTTAGTGAATCACAGCTAAAAATGTTTATGTAAACTCTTACAAGTATGTGGGGGGGCAACACCCACGAGCATAAATATAAGCATCAAGAATTTATTTGGGACATAATTCTTCTTAAGCAAATTCATAAAACAGCACCATAAAGATAAGTAAAAATTAGATAGTGACATTAAATTCTAACCAAAATTTCTTTAACTGCTCTTCTCCTATTCCTCGACCTAAATCCTCTCACATTTTAACTATCTTCATTGGGAAACTTTTTTTTTATCCCTAGCCAAATGGCCATCATAATTGATCTCCAATACTGAGAAGCTCCTTTGTCTCTAACCCACTTCCTCATACTACCCCCTCCCCTCATAACTTTTGGACAGCAAGATGTAATGGTAATGGAATTCTCAAAAGGTAACATGGATTCATCTCCCTCCCCAAATCAGACCACTTTTCTCAAGAACTAGCTCTGAACAAGATGCCGAAACAACATCTTCATTGACAAAGAAAGAACTCGAGGTACCCTGCCCCTTTTCATCACCAAACCCCTTACTATGCCCAGAAACATCACAGCATGTATCCCCTTAACGTAAAAAATTTATAGGATTAGGCTCAAATTTATGGCATACCTTATGACAAACATCAAATACAGAAATTGAAAATCACAAATTAAAATTCAAATAATTAAAAAAGAAAACAAAATATATGTACCATAAAAATGGTCTCACAAAGATGATGCATGATAAATTAATCAACTAAGTAGGACGGGGTGTCACTAGTCAAAAGGAAAGGAAAACACTTAGAAACCACCAACCTGGTAATCTATGTGTGTACAGTTAAACAAAAGTGGGTTCACGCCCCTTTATTGTCAAGACAAGAAGAACGAAAAAAAAAACAAAATTTTTAACACAATGCAGCAAAATTTTACACTCAGATAAAAAAATTGAATCACTAATGCTAATTTTCATTCTTGAGAAACCCCAGCATAACATACATGATAACTACAACTTTAAAACAAAAAGAGAAAGAAATAATATACTTTTATTATTCTTTTTACATATATAAGTAATATAAATCAAACTCACCATCCAACAGTATTATTATCCACATTAACTTCTCTCAAACATCTCATCATTTCAAGCTGATAATTGGCACCATCTGCTTCAATCTCCTCATCTTCATCCCGGATCTGTCATTTATGTTACAAGCGCAAAGTTAAAAGTATTTGGGCAAGGAATAAACCTATGCAGAACATTATGGTTCTCAAATTTAAACCACCATTTTGCCTGTTAATCGAAGGAAAGAAAAAAACACAAATGAAGAAAGGCCTGACAACACGTACTGGAAAAGGGAAACAATTAGTAACTTCAAGAACACTGCCAACATCTAACCCAAGAAGTTGCCCTGTAACAAGAGCTGGGGAAAGCTCCTTGCAGTGTTTGATAATCTTCAGTATAACCTGTTTTGAACAAAGTTTATAAAAGCATATGAGAACATTGCAAGCTTATACCATCCAAAGATCAAAAACTTCATTTTGGTTAACTTGAAAATGGAAACGTTTCGGAAACATAAGTGAAATAACAAAAAAAAATGTATGGAAATAAAAATTAAAACCTATATACATGTTTAAACTTTCTCAATAATTCAATAGTTGAAGATGTTGAGGTCTAAACATCTCTTTAGATAAAGAGACGAGTGTAACAAGTATCGAATTTATACTAAGAATAGCACAGTTGACTAGATTCATTATCATTTAATTAGAAAATCAGTTTTTTTGCATGCAACAAGTATTAACTTTATAGAATGGCCAAAGACTTCATAGTATTTTTTTGTAGAACAAAAAAGAGATGGTTTCCAACAAGAAGTTCAAAACATTTGCTTTTGTTTGGTTAGAAGGATTGAAAATTTATTTATTTATTTATTTTTAAAAAGGGGCCTGCCAAATTGTGGGTGCCAGTCATTTTTGTTCACATTTGCAACCTAAGCCTTTATCCAAAACAAAGAGATTCGTGACTTTCTTTCACTAAGAGTTCCTATTGATTCAGTTTAATAAAATTAAAATTAAAATTAAAACACAGAGACTCTGAGCAGTAGGGCTGTTCATATGAACGGAATACCCGCTCAAGCTGTCCGATCTGGACCGACCCGGGCTGCCACAGACGGTTTCTAAGAGAAGAACAGTCGGTTACGGTTTTTCTGCACTGAATTTTACCGATTTACGGTCGGCAAGGGATCTTCCCCGTATAAATCCTATGAACCTAGCCCGACCGAAACAATGAGTATATAATAGTATTTATATATTGGGAGTATGCATAGTAGTCCAGACTCTAGTCTGTCAAAGAGAGACTATTCTTTCACTTTCCAAAGCATTAATAATGATGACTCTCTCTCTCTCTCTTGTCTTCACAGATTTATTTCTCATTTTGCTTCTCTCTCTCTCATAACCCCTAGGTAGACCAAAAGTTGAAAAATCTCTTCTCTCCCTCTTCACTCTCGTTTGGGGCCTTTTTCTTTCTCTCATTTTTCATCTATTTCTTTGAGAGACAAACTCATCTCTCCCTCATCTGTGCTTCTCTTTCTTTTGATGGTAATGGTTGTCTTGAAGACGAGGTAGCTGACGATGGCAACGAACAGCGATGGCGAGTCTTTCTCTTTCTCTCTCCATTTTTTTTCATACACTGTCATAGATGTATGTGTGTATGTGTGTATGTATATATATATATGTATGAGCATGAGTTCAATTCAATATTTTACACAAAAATTTCACCCCTACTTAGATTTTCGGATTCGACCGAACCGACTGTCAAACCGTCTTCTTTAATTCGTCGATTTTGAACCACACATCAGTCGACCACGGATCATTAATTTCTTAACCCGAAGGTGTCGGTTTGGCTGCCGGGTAAAGGGTAAACCCAAGCCGAACCGACCAGTGAACAGCCCTACTGAGCGGGGGAGCAACCAAAACACCAGAAAACATAGAATTAAAAAAATTATAATCGCTTCTCTTGGACCTAAATTTTTTTCCCCCCAATTGTGGCTTTACCAATCTAAAGCAGAACAAAGGCACAAACACTACCAAAACCCCAAACTAACGAGAGAGAAAAAAAAAAAAACCAAAAAACGAAGACAAAAAAAAAAATGCAACAGTGAGAGAAGAGATTACCAGACCCTCGATCTGAACGACTCTGAGCGGGGGAGCGACCTCCTCTGTGGCTGCTACTTGCAGAAAGGACCGAGCCATTGCTGCAATTAAGACACCAAAACAGTCATCGAGATATGATAAGCAAGCGCGCGCGCGCGCACACACACATATATATATATATAAGCACAAATTTGGGGAGAGAGAGAGAACAAACTGTTCGCCATGTTGGTGATATCTCTGAGGAAGAAGGGAAGAGATGCAGCAGCAAAGTTTCAAGCTTTCTCTCCCCGACGGTTCTCGAAAGAAAACCCTAGATATTCACTGTCCGATGGCTCTTCACAGAAACCCTAGCTATTGCTCTCGTAATTTTATTTTTTTTCATATATATTTTTGGTAAATTACACAAACCTCCTCCCAGATTTAATGAAATTACAGAGACTCCTATGTAGTTTGAAAAATAGCATTTCCCTAGCTAGCAAAAAGCTAGCTTTTGGCTTTTTTTTAGCCAAAAAAGCTAGTTTTTTCACCCAAGTTACTATCTAAAAAGTTAACTTTTTTGGCTAAAAAAAGCTAAGAGTCAGTTTTTTACCAACTTTCCAAAACACCACTAAATTATAGATTTGGCCCTAACTAGAACTAAAGGAATTCACATAGAAAAGTAGAAATACACAACTTTATATAGAATATATATATTTTTTCTTACTTTAAAAAAACATATAAAAAAAATTAACCAAGAAGCAAATAGAAAGAGAGAGAGGATTTATGGAGAAGAGAGACACTCTGTTTACATTCGAACAAGAAATTCAAAAATTGTACAACACAGATTTTTGAGTGATTAGTGATGGAGATGTGTTTCGGAGAGAGAGAGAAAGAGACGAAGAGAATTTTGGAAGGTGGTGAAGGGAGTGAGAGAGAGAATCTAACAATTTGTGTAGATTTTCTGATTGTATAAAATGATATAGTGAAGATTTTCAAAATGTACTAAGTAAGTTGTGATGGTATAAAATGATATAGAGAAGATTTTCAAAGTATAACATCCATATAGGTTTTGTAGTTAGATTTTATGTAAAACTTGAATTGAGTTTTTGAGTTTGTCTAGATTTATATAAAAAGAGAGAAGTATTGTATAATTGAAATTGGGGTTTGTGTGGATTTGTTCAAAATAGATAAAAACCTATAAAAAATTTAAAAAAAAAACAATATAAAAAAATACATTACTTTTAATGTGTCACCTAACTATAGAAAACACATTATATACAAATGATTTTTCATAAGGGATGATCTTTTGAGGTAGTTACCAATTAAATTTAAAATTTATTTTATTTTATTTTGTGGCTTAATTGGTTTCAAGACACCAAATTTAATGTAGACAAATAATATAGTATCAAAATAAAAAAATGTCCCAATCATGCCAACTTTGTTTTTTTTTTGGAGGGCTTAAGTTAGTAAATTATTTCAAATTTCAGATCCAAACAACATTTTTTTTTTTTTGTGTGTGTCCCTTTTTTGTTTTTTTTTTGCTCCAAAACATGACATTTTAATGTAAATAGTTAGAAACAACTATGGGCCGTTGGATTGAATCATGTTATTAGCAATGTGTCATGCTATGGTTAAACCACAACCGTACATGTATTATTTGATAAGGTCAAGTTTGGTATATTCAAAATAATTCATCTTTTTATCTTTTTTTCATTACATCACCTCTCTACTTTTCTGCACATCTTTTCATAAAAAGACAAAAAGTGTACTTATTTAGATCATCCCAAACAACCCCTAAGGCCTCGTTTGGGAACAGGCTAATTTAGTAACTTTTTGGCTATTTGGCTAAAAAGGTAGGTAAAAAAAACTTGTATGTTTGGGATGACTTTTTGGCTAATTACGAAAAGATGCGCAAAAAGTAGAGAGAAAAGAGAATCTTTGACTTTTTGGTATGGGTTGTTGACTTTTTGGCTAATTTAGTAACTTTTTGACTAATTGACTAAAATAGCCTCTTGCCAAACGAGGCCTAAGTATAAGTTGTGTAAGATTATGAATTTTATAAGATTAAAAGTTTTGTTTGAGAATAAATTATTTTAATAATTTTTTTACTTTTTGCGAAAATATATATAAAAAAACGGATAGAGTAATGTGATAATTTATAATAATTTTTTGACTTTTTAATTAAAATTAAAAATTGTCAAACGAGACATAAGTGATAAGTTCAGGGTCGGCCCTAGGATAAGGCCAGTGAGACCTGTGCCTAGTGTCCAAAAAATTAGACAAAAAAAAAGGCCCCCAAATTCATTATCCTATAATATATCAAAAATTCAAAATAGCCCAATTTTGTTTAATTAATTTAGGCCATTTTAAAATGGCTCAAAAGTTCTATTTGGCCCAATTGATAAAAGGCCCAGTTAAAAATTATTTGGGGGAACTTGCCAATAAGTCTCATATACAAAGTTCAAGACCCATATAATCCTCAAACAAAACACTTGCACCAATTAGTCATATATATTTTTAATTGTTACTAAAAAATTCTTTTTTTTTTTTTTAATTTACAGACACTATTACATTCTACTACCGTCGGACTTCCATCAAACGATCACCAGAGACTCGTCGGAATGTTCAACATCACCGGGAAGTTGTCGGAGTATCGCCGGAAAGTCGCCAGAGTATTGTCGGAAGTTCACCGGAGTGTTAAGAACGTTAATGAAAGTCGCCGAAATGTTCAAAAAACGTTTACTGGACGTTAAGAACATCATTAGAGACTCACTAGAATGTTTAGAATATTGCCAGAAAAAAAGAGAGAATAAATTGAGAAATTAGAGCAAAAAAAATAATGTGCTAAATATTGATAAACTACAAGAAAAAAAAAATGAAATGACAAAAAACAGCAGCAATGGGAAAAACATATGCTATTTTTAAATTTTTATAAGGTTTAAGCAAATAATCTCCAATATTGACCAAACTGAAAAGTAAGTTTTGAAACTGTAAAATGTTACAGTTTCAAAGCAAAAATCTATTAAGCATTTATCCTTATTGATCAAACTGAAAACACATGTTATGAAACTGTAAAATTTTACAATTCTAAAGAATGTTATGAAACTACAAAATTTTACAGTTTTATACCATGATTCATTCTAGTACCAAAAAAATTTGAAACTACAAAATTTTACAGTTTTAAACCATGATTCATTCCAGTACCAAAAAAAATTTGAAACTGTAAAATTTTACAGTTTTCACCGCCTGTAACTAAAACTCGAAAATAATTTGTTCAGAACTTGAAATTTTTCTCCATTAGAACAGAAAAAGAGAAGTGTATAGCCGAAAAAATGTAGAAAAAATAAGAGATCGAAGTAGAAAGGCGGATATAGAAAGAGGATTGTACTCCGGCAACTATTTTTTGTTTAGATCTAGCCAAATCTGATGTAGATCTATATCAGATCTAAGTAGATCTACTCATCTTCTTCGTCGAAAATATATCTTCTTTACCATCGGTGAGGGTGAAGTAAGGAGTCGGCGGTCGATGGTCGGTGGTTGCCGGTGAATCCTAATCGATGGTAGTCGTTGGTCGCCGGTGACTATATATCGAAAAAAGAAAAAGAAAAAGAAAAAGTAAGATATGGTCACCCGTCAACGATCACCAAAAATCACAAAGAGCAAAAGAGGCAGAGAAGAGGAATAACGTTATAGGACTTTTGGATATAAACAAAAGGTTATGGGACTAAATAGACTACACATTTTTCAAAAAAGACTTCTCGGTAATTTTCCCAATTATTTACAAGTGTTAGTTGTTAGTCCAATTAAAAAAATAAAATATAAAATATAAAATATATGTATCTGTTTGTGGGGCCTATTTTTTTCCTTCTCTTTTTATGGCCCAATTATGTGTTTTTTAGTGACTTTTTAAATATTTTACGCAATTTTATTTATTTATTTTATAGATACATCTAATTTGGATATACTTAAAAACTATAATATTTGTACTTTTTAAAAAAAAACAAAAACGAAAAAAGTTGCCAAATATAAAAAAATACTAATTGCAAACTCAAATAATTATTTTTCAAAATTCTAAACCAAACAGGGTGATTTTTATTTTTATTTTTATGAATGTCTAAAAAGTTCTGAAAAATTATTTCGTTTTAGGCTCCCGAAAATTTAGGGCCGGCCTTTTCCCAATTATTTATAAGTGTTAGTTGTTAGTCCAATTAAAAAAATAAATATAAAATATATGTATCTATTTGTGGGGCCTATTTTTTTTCCTTCTCTTTTTATGGCCCAATTATGTGTTTTTTAGTGGCTTTTTAAATATTTTACGCAATTTTATTTATTTATTTTATAGATACATCTGATATAGATACACTTAAAAATTATAATATTTTTGTTTTTTTTAAAAAACAAAAAAAGTGAATACAAAAAATATAACAAAAATATGAATTGTAAACTCAGATAATTATTTTTGAAAATTCTAAACCAAACAGGGTGATTTTTATTTTTATAAATATCTAAAGGGCCCCGAAAAATAATTTCGCCATAGGCCCCCAACAACTCAGGGCCGGCCCTGGATAGGTTTAGTAGGTTTAAATAATATAATTACTAGTACAATGATATTAAATTAGAGATACAATACTAATTTTTCATGTTGGTTATGCATGTGAAATTCTGTAAAACACTTCACTATACAAAGGAGCTTTTGTTGTTTATAACAAGGACAAAATCATCTACCGTTATTTAATTTCATGAGATTGGATTAATAATAGCATTTACTATTTTTGAATCCACCCATTTCAAAAGATTTATGGTTCCATATGCGATTGTTTATCCGGTGCTACTTTTCGCAACCAAATATAAATTATGCAGGATCTACCAAATTTTTAATCCAATACTAACCTGTATAACGATTATCCAATAGGATCTTAGATGTAGCAAATATATGGAGGCATTTTCCTTGAGGCATTTCCCAAAATAAGCCTAACAACTAACCTATTTCCCAAACTAAGCCTAGTTTGGTTGAAATTCCCAAAATAAGCTGAAGCGTTATTCCAAACCACGCTTTCACTATATTTTTGACCCAGCCGCGAAAAATTGATAAAATCATAAAAGCGTGGTTAGAAACCACGCTTTTAAAGAAAACTGTTTTGTAACCCCGCTTTTAATGAAAATTTGGTTTTAAAAGAAAGCGTGATTCGTAACTACGCTTTCAAAAGTTATATAAAATGGCCCACCCACCTCATTTGCAACCACGCTTTGTATACTTCATTTTTCCCCCCACCCATGCTCTGTTTTCACTCTCTCACTACCTGCTCTCACTCTCTCTCTCCGTGGTTCTCTGCTCTCTCTCTCTTCGGTATGACTGTTTGTCTGTCTCTCTCTTTCTCAGTTTGAATTTTATATGT